CCACAAGTCTAGGTATTTTGATCTCGTCGAGTATGTGTTCAAGGCGCTTGAAATGCCGGCGAATGGTGCCATATCCCAGCATAACTTGCATGTCCTCTCCATCCCGAAGAACAGCTTCCAGCATGGAGTGAAATGCCGTAGTCCAGGACTGAACTCCCCTTGATTCCATCAGCCTCGCGTTCACATCTCGTTTTGTTTGCTTCGTGAGGTCAGTCACGGAGGGTGACGCAACCGAGTGGAGAACCGCAAAGGCAGGACCGAACCGCCCAGTTGGGGACACCTGCTTGCATAGCTGCCTGTACAATTCCCCAATCTGATAGTCGATTTTCCTACGTTCCGAGGGGGAGAGTGGTGGATTTAGCTCGGGTATCGGGACGCCTCGTGTTGGTTTCAGGAGGCTATATTCGAGACCCAGCTCGTTCAACGTTGCAGTATGCGATACGAGAGTTGGGACCATACAACGTAAATCCTCAGCCGCGTCATCGAGGGAGCTTCGGGCTCCTTTCGCATCCTTGGCCGCATATGAGGGGGATTCGAGCAGTTCATTCGGGTCGGTAGCTCGCTCTTGAAGAAGAGGCTGTTCGATGGTCTTGAAAGCAAGCCATTTCAAGACTGCTGCCTCCGAGATGACGGAGGCGCGTTCAGATCGAAGGAGCTTGACCATGGACGGCGGAGGAACGACGAGAACAAGGCCCGTTCCGTTGGAGACTTTGACCTCATAGATACGCTGGCAATTGACCGAGGGCATTACCTGAACTTGCTGGACGGTAGCCTGGGGTACTAAACGGCTTATAACGGCCTGTATAGGATTTACTGAGGGCGGCGCGCACATGGACGTTTCTGCTGCTGAAGCGCGACACGGGCTCTGCCTTATGGATGGCTGATGCGTGACGAACGGGATGTTGCAGCTCTGCGGAACGTCCTGGCAGACAATCTGTAGGCAGGATGAATTCGAGGTATGAGTGTGGTGACACCCACCAGAAGCCATGCGAAATGGGATGGCTGCCGGTAACTAGATATAGCGAGCCCCTTGCTGATCTCGAGACGAGGATGTTGTCGGGATGTACAAGGTAGCAATGAGTATGGACACACGGACAGATCCGGCCGGAATTTACGGACGCCGCTGTGCCAAGAAGGGCAATGTCAAGAGAGGAATCCAATGGCAATGGGTGGCTAGCGAGACATACTTGAGGAGTGGACGACCGAGGGGGGATGACTGGAAGACTGCCTGGCATCCTCTGGGATCCAAAGTATGCCGATGATGATGATGCCGAGTGGGTTAGGCGAATCAGAACAACGGAGGACTGCCATAAGCTCAAGTACGTCGACCCCCAGCGAGCACGGCAATGTTAGCGGGGCGACGGTGAACGATGATATCGTGATCGTGGTACTTGTTTCGGCAGGATAGGCTGCCGATTTTCATAGGATTGTCCGTGCTGGCAGCTGCTTTTTGGGCTACAAAGGGCGTCCAATCACACCATAATCGAGCGGGCTTGAGAATACATGCACAATAGGTTGTCACGGAGAAACAGTCGAGGGTAGGAAGATAAACTCAAGGATGGAGCGCAGCGCGCAGACATGGCTTGAGGCCATGTGGTAGCGCTTTGAAGACGACCTTGTTCTGTCCAGGTCAGGCGAAAACCTTGCCATGACAAGCCAACGAAGAGATGAACTAATAGGAAGGTACAGCAAGCGAGTAGTGGGCCAGCCAAATAAGTCGACGTGGGGCATGGAGGAATACTGTGAATAAGGGGAAGAGGCGCTCAATGAGCGTGTGAGAAATAAGCGAGAGAGACAACGCTAAGAAGCAGCCATGTTTCTGCATTGCTCCTCGGATGCGTGTGAGTAAAAATATGTGTGGAAGCCTGTCGTAGTAGGTACGGTAAGTCAACAGCCATCTCTTCCTTATGCCCTCCGGCAAAGGCGAGCCCGAGCTCGGCCTCGAGCTCAATCAGATAATTAGGAACAATGTCAAGAGCCCAAGCGACAAAGACCGAGTGAGAGTGAAGGAGAGGAAATGCGAAGAAACGAGACCACACCATCGGAGTCGGAAGGGTTGCGACGCAATATACCAAGAGAATCGGAATGCTTGCCACTTGGGGTCAACTCAAGCGAAGCTGCATGAGCTAGCTGGTCTTGTTTGAGAAAGGCTGTTGATATTTGGATCCATATTTCAGTCGGAGATCTCCATGTCCGCATATGCAGTAATGAAATATCTTGGCCCACCCGGAAGTATCTGACGGGAGATGATGTGTGCACCAATGGACGTAGGGTGTGTTGCTGCTTTGTATGCAGCAGCATGCCGTTTTCGTGTTGTGCATATGATGGTTTCAAAGTGTGCTTGTCAAAAATTCTACTCAAGCTAGCGAGACAGTATCGAAGAGAAGGGCTAAGAAAACGAGCAGATAAAGGTGCATACATTACCAAGTCGATGCAAAGTAAGTCAGCCCCCCCCCATTTCACGCTCCCCCCCATTTCGCGTATTCTGTTTTAAATCTTTTATAAATTAGGGAGTAGTCCTAGAAGAGTAAATAAAGGAGTATAAAGTAAAGAAAATTATAAACTATTTTATAATAAAGTTTATATACTTATACTATATATACTTAATAAGTTATTAGAGATTATATAAATATATAAGTTTTACTAATATAGTAAAATATACTATAAATAAGATTATACTATTAAAGCTAGTATTTTTTAAATAACTTTTAAATACTAAATATAAAGTTTTATAGTTTTTTACTTTATAGTACTTATTTAATATAAAAGTACTAAAAAAGTCCTAAGAAATTTTATTTTCTAAAGATTTATTTTAAGTAATTTTAGATTTTTAGACTTATTTATATAGATATAAAGCTAGTTTTAACTATTTTAAGCTTATTATTTTTTAAATAAATTTTAAAACTAAGTAAATTTTAAGTTTTATTAGTATATATTTAAGAAAAAATAAGTATAGTTTTTTAGTAAATACTATAAAGGTAAGTAAATAGTATTATATAATAGTGTTTAACTATAAACTTAAAACTTAAAAACTTTATACTTATACTTATACTAAATATCTATCTATATAGAAAGTTATAAGTTATTATATAAAGAGATAAGATTTATATAAAGGTGTAAAGCACTAGGGTTTAGGTAGAAAAGTGCGCAAAATGTAGGGGAGCGCGAAATGGGGGGGGGCTGACTTAAGTCCCATACACAACAAGATAGAATGATCGTTGGGAATCTTACTTTGTCCTATGTACGGATACCGTGTCCTCTCAGCAGATTCGTACAGCGCACTGACCACAAACTAGGCCTATTTCGAAAGGCGGTCAGCCAACCTAGCCACCCACCCACCCACCTAACCCTAACCCTTGCCACCAAACTTGCTGCTGACGTTGACTAGCCCCTGCATTTGCCACATCTAGATCCCTGTTTCTGCCAGCCCGCTTACCCCTTTCCAGTAGCCCGTGGTCAGTGCGCTGTACGAATCTGCTGAGAGGATACGGTACTCGGTCTGTAGTAATTAGGCCTAAGACGAGACTGGGAACGTGCAGGGACACCCCAGCTACACCACGCATAGACAAGCGAGTCGGGAATTTGGTGATTGGACACCGTCAAGCGAGGCTGGTGGGGCACGGACGTCCACCCGCAGTTTTGGGGCAGTCGTCGACTGGCTCAAGCGGGGAATATAGTGGACACCAAGTCCGAGATAAGATCCACTCCTTCCGGATGTTTCCAGCATACGGCGCAGACACCTTTGGCCCTCTTCCATCTCCGTGCCTTTCATCTGGTGCCATTGGTTCAGTGGCCTCTTGAAAACCTACCGCTTCTCGCATTTGGGGGCCGGGTGCTTTAGAGGCCTTGACCTGTCCCGGCCCTCAATCTGGGATTTTCTGATAAACGAAATATGCCTCTTCCTTCTTTGTACGAGTAATCTAGCCCAATTAATGTTGGTTGGTACGTTCGCTCCTCAGCTTGCTAACAGCTCGATCCCAATTCCGAAGACCCCAAGTTATAAGGTTGCGAGTTGGTCCAAGTCTATACATCAGTTGTCGCCATGGAAAGTACATGCTTGCCCGGAGTGGATAGCCTCGTTGCTCAGGCTGTTTTATATGGACGACACATCTCAATACAAGATAACCCTTGAAGCAAAGGAATGAAAGTTACGTGTCGAGTTGCTTGTGCTCCGTCAACAAGTACATAGGCGAGAGGTATCTGACCGTACGTTGCTTGGGAGGAGATTGAGTTTTTTTGCATTGTTGCAGAAACCAAATAGTCTCCGCGCTCCTTGGCCGATCTTTCAAGTAGCCTCAAAAGACCTGGTTTCGTGAGAGAAACGGACTAGAATATTGAAAGCTGCTGACGGTTCTGGAAACTCGTCAAATTTATACATATGGGGTTTAGCGCTGTCAAGGATGCAGATGTGCTGGAACACCACCCCATACTACCCCTGGTTCACTTTACTAGTATTTACGTGGTACTTTAAGAGGTATTACTGTCCAGCACAAAATGTCCAGCACGGACCTCAGCTGGTGTTCTGGCAAGATTGCCCTATCTCTTTTAGCGACACATCTTGCCGCCTGTAATATTACATAAGGCATATTATATTGACTGGCCTGAGAGCAGTTTTACTCATCATCATATCTCGCTTCACCTCAGCCAAGCATGAGGCTCAGTAACTGGGTGGCTTGTCGGGGAGTGAGCGAGCCTTCCCTGCAGCTGAGAGACGGAGGCACGAGGCCGTCGATCCATCTCGCCAAGGCCATTTCCATGCCGTCGAATATCCTGGATGCAAGAAAACTGACGTCTTCTGCATTCATGCCCAGGCAGAGCGTGCTGCATTTCTGAGTGGCTCAAAATGATATATGATCCCATGTCGCTTCTGCAGATGCGGACTTAGCTTGAGCTGACTGCATTGACAAACAGCTGTCTCACAATCGCTAGGGCCAATACTTGCAACCAATGGTTGGCCTCATGCATGTGCCTACGGCGGCCCTCAGTATATTTTCTCTTTTCTGTAATTCGACGCTGTCTATGTCGTATATCTTCGAGTGCCTGTGTAACTGGGCGTATGTCAGAAACGATGAGTTAGCTATTCTTTCCGACTAACTGCTTGGAAGTCAGGCTACATCTGTCGTGGTTACTATCGCTATCAATCACATCGCATCCAAGACGCCGCATCCACCTTCACCGCTCGCCTTGGCGCCCATATCCTTTGGCTTTGCCCCGGGAGAAGCTTTATACAACTCGTTGACATTGAGCTTCTTGAGCCCGTCCCAGTCACTACGCTCAATGACACTCATGCCGCAGAAGCTCTGCCACAGCGGTTAGCCAAGGTTGGATGAAGGTTTCGTTATCAGCACAAGCCACTTACCTGGAAGACGTCAACCAGCACCACCTTGTCAGGGTTAGTCAGGTTGACCTTGTGTCTCGGATTGACGGCCTTGGCGATTTGACTGATGAGCTCGTCGCGGTCAAGTGAGCTATTGCTTCTTATCGAAGGTCGGATGGCATACTGGCTGTGTGTTAGCACCGACTTGGGCTAGATGTCCTGCGTTTTGAGACTGACCGTGAAGGCTGGCTTCTCAGCCTCTCTTGGCGCTTCTGCACTGATCTCCTGTTCCCTGACATCCTCTTTCCCAACTCCAATTTCCACTGATCCCTCCTTAATCTCGCTATCCGTAACCCTAGGAAGGGTGTCCATCGTCAACTCGAAGTGGGCTGCTAAGGCCTTCCTGGCTACTCTTGCTACGCCATTCTCCGAGGCCTTATCGACAAACGTAACCGGCGTCAGTCGGTTGATATACTTAGTTCTTCGCTCCTTCAAATCTGTGCAAAGGCTTGCATCTTGGCAGATCCGGCGGCAGAGCTCAACAGGATCCACTGGATCTCTCGTCTTCATGAAGAAGACACATTCGATGCCGGCCTTGATAGCTTTGAAATTGCGCTTGGACTTGCTCTTGCCACCGCCACTAATACCCTCGAGCTCCTTCTTGATGGAATCCTCGATGTCCTCGGCCTCGTTGTCCGATTCAACATCTTCGTCGGGAGGGGCAATGTTATACATCGTTTTGCCATACTGAGAGACAAATATGATGAGTATAAGTTGAAAGTGACACTAGAGAAACAAACCTCGTCACAGAGCAAGTTGAACTCGCTGATTGCTTTCGCGTCCATGCCTCGTGCAAATGTAACCCAAATGCCCTTGTCTCCAACGCCGATGGTGACGCCTTTGTCTTGAAGGCTGGCAACCTTAGCCTTGTGTTGGGGCGTCTGCCAGGCACCTGCACCCTTCCCACCCTATAACGTCGGAATTAGTCGAAGAAGTCATCGCTTGAGACATTGGAGCATAATATATAGGCATGAGCATGCATTCGGGTGAAACCCACTTTGCTTCTCTTCGCTGGGTGGGCATCGCCGCCTCTGGAGCTGGGCTGTTTCCTCTTAGAGTCCGACATATCGAGAGATGAGTATGAGAGCTACACGACTGTGTATGGCCAACAACTCGATATCCGATTCGCTCGGATTTCGATATAGGTAAGTGTGAGGTGGATCAGTGTAAAAAGGTTGGTGGCTGGTGAAGAAGAAAAGCTTGGTGCGCCACGTGAAAGAGGAAAACATTGCCACACCGCCCGAAGGCAATAAATTTGACGACCTGGACCCGCCGTCCCGATGCCATGTCATCCAGCTGCTGCCCAGTCGACCTAAGGCCCCGAAGTATGACCCAGTTGTTTTGTTTCAATCATCGATATTGCAGGATTGTTAATGAGAATTGGTGCTATACTCTTCGCTTTTCAATTAAACTGACGTCGTTCTGCAAATTAATCCCTTACGGGAATATCAATCCCGGACCGATTGGGCTTAGGTGCACGATTTCCGAAACGTTTGTGACCGCAATTATCACCGTTCGTTACGTAGAGCCTCACGACGTCTAGAACGACAGTTTACCATGTGTTCAGCATAACTATGACGCTGGGTTGCGCCGTAGCACATAGATGGAGCGCAGATGGACGAGTGAAGGAGAATGAGCTGAGGGTTGCTACAGTTTCACAATCTCAATTCCCTCATGCCTAACGTACCTAGCAAGGAAAGGGACTGGGTGGCACCGAGAAGCAGCTATGGCTGACGTTTCCCTCATGTTCAAGGACGGAAAGTGTACTGTTTGCTCGAGATTCTATACAATCAGGCAAAGCGACGCCGGCTCATACAGATGAACATATAATTCACAGACACGAATGATCTACGTATGCTTCAGTGACCATAAGGCCCCTGTTCAACTAATTGATAGGAAACCATCATGCTTAGTCGTACGCCACTAACATGTGCTTGTCATTGCCCTACTCGGACCTCGCGTTGTTTCTGGCACTAGCTTCGGCAGTCATAATGAGAGCTCTCGGAGCATCCTCCTTTGGGAGATAAAGCTCTACAAACTGCAGTGCTGTAGGGTTGTTGAAGTCATTGTCGGTCAGGAGCTTCTCCAACTCATCCTTGGTCTTGACGACAAACTTCTTGGCCGTCTTATCAGTGCCGCCAAACACTGTTGCGAGCTCCTTGTACTGCCACTGGACGATGTCGTTATATTCGGCCTCCATGCCGTGGATGAAACGTTCAATGGTATATCCATCATTGCAGATGACAAAACTGAATGCCAGGTGTTAGTATCCCGGGCAGGTTCAAAGGGTAGGATGAGTTGGACTCACATCGTCGTATGCAAGTCGTGTCGAAGCATCGTGGTGACCTCCTGTGCCGTGAGCTGGAAAGAGCCGTCACCAACAAACAGTATAGTCCTGCGATCTTGGCCTGCATCTTTCGCAGCAAGCGCAGCACCCTGCGCGGCGCCAACTGACCAGCCGATACTTCCCCAGAAGACTTGACTCAAAGCCGTGACCCCGGCAGGGAATTTGGTATCCCAGATACCAAAGTTTGCCGTTCCGGTCTCGGTAACCACAATGTCGTTCTCGCGGAGATAGTTGCCAACTCTAGGCCACAGGTAGGCCTGAGTGATGCCTTGGGAGGGGTCCGAGTTCGGGCTGGGCACCCTGTTGATTACTTCCGGAGATGTCGTGATGGTAAGTTGGCTCAGGTCGAGGCTCTCGGTAACCTTCCGCAGGACACCACGCATAGTGATTCCGGGATATTCGGAGTAGCGCACCCTAGTGTGCGTGCTGTGAAAATCAATGGTATTGAGTTGGGATGTCCGGTAGGAGAATCCAGCTGTGTTGAAATCACTCTGTAATCCGGTTAGCGGTCCATATACGACCCAAGATGGCACCGTAAACTTACCTTGAGACCACCAACTGATAGAATCAGATCCGAAGACTCCACACGCTCAGCAACGTGGGGTTGCGAAGCAGTCCCAGCATATACACCACCATAGTTGGGATGGGTTTCGTTGACGGCACCCTTGCCCATGGGTGTGACGAAGACGGGGATTTTGGTCTTCTCGAGGAGTGCATGAATCTCGGGCAAAACGCGGTGGCGGATGGCGCAAGCGTCGATGAGCATAATGGGCCTTTTTGCAGCGTGGAGGCTCTTAAGAATTACATCGACAACGTAGTCCTCTCTGACGGGGTCATTGGTGGCCTCCTCCATGTTTATTGGCGTCTGCAACCTCTCGCCCTCGACCTTCTTCTGAACCATATCGGTTGGAAGCATGATGTAGACGGGGCGACTGCGGATCCAGCACTCTCTCAGAGCATGGTCGATTTGATTGGCGATTTCAGCTGGGTTGTTGAGACGAGCAACGTCACATGAGATCTGAGAGCTCATGTTGGAAAAGACGTTAAAGTCACCGTTGCCCAGAGTGTGATGTAAGAGCATGCCGTTCTTCTGGGAAATGGTAGACGGGCATCCGACAATGTGGACAACGGGAATGTGTTCTGAGTAGGCGCCAGCGAGAGCGTTGATGGCAGAGAGCTCGCCGACACCAAAGGTGGTGATAATGGCCGAGATGCCTTTGACACGGGCGTAACCATCGGCAGCATAGCCTACCGAGGGTATCAGTACGTTGAGAAATACAGTAGCTATTGGGTGAAGATTGTGCAAGGCTCACCGGCGTTGAGCTCGTTGACGTTGCCAACCCACTTCAGACCACACTCGGGGAGGTAGTCGAGGGCAACAAGGTTGAAGTCCCCTGGGAGACCGTGGACGGAACGAACCCCGATTTCGTGAAGCCTTCTGAAGAGGTATTCAACAACATCAACGGGCTGTTTCAGCCCTTGAGTTCTAATATCGGCCATAGCTGTATGAATGTAGACCGGCTGGCTATTGGAGCAGAGGTGGCTTTGGTGCTGCTGTTGCTGTTACTGGTGCTGCGAGGGTTGATATGAAAATGTGATTTCCAATTACTGAGCTGGAGAAGAAGAACTTCTAGGTCTAGGACTGGAGGCAGATATGTTTATATCAAGTCCTTATCTCGGAGAGATGGCGAGCTTGGTCTCGGCCTAACTTACTTGTCATCGTCAGATATAATGACCAGGATCATCAAGTCAGGCCACTGGCCATTGCAAGGTGGAAGGACAGAGGCTATCGGCGATGAGCGGTTTCTTAAGGTAGGTCCACATTCGTGTACGTTTGTACTTTGAACGGAAGTACTAGATAAGCTTGTAAAGCGGTTGGGTGTGAGTAACTTGCCAGTCTCGGTATCTGGTGGAATGCATGGGATTGGTGTTGGGAACCGACGACGGGGGAGAAAGACGGGAGATGGTAGCGTTGCTACCCCTCAGGCAAAGCTAAGAATGGAGGGGCAGCAGACAATGGTCTATTGCATCAACAATACGCAAACGACGGGACAGGAGTGATGTAAGTAAACACACCACACGAAAGTGCGGCCACCAACACGCCGGGCTCATGCCGGACCATGCCGGGGGTGCTGGAGCTTTTGGTGTCACAAAAGCCAGACACACCCTCAGATATCCGGGACGAGCCACTCTTTTGCTGTGGCGAGATGGGGCGAAATGGGACGAGAGATAATGAAGTTGCTCATTAGAACACGTGTAGTGCAGCGGCACAAAGGGAGTTGCAGCAGGGAAGGTGACAATCTCGGGCCCAGCGAAGAAGGGGAAAGAAGCAAATCCATAGCGGGCCATAGCGGGCCGCACTGGAAGTGGTGCCATACTGTGCCACCTATGTACTTACAATGTAGGTACCTAGGTACGTGTACCATAGTATCCCAGTCCTCGACTCGATCCGAGCTGCAAGCCCAAAGAAGCTCTGAAGGTGTAATCACTTTCACTCTTGAATCACAATCAGATTCGCATCCTGCGCTGCCATGCATCCAACTATCCTCTGATAGCGTGGGATGTGCCTATTGCTTACATGCCGCTGCTGCTGGGAGCTGCATTGTCTAATCCATCTTCTCTTTGCCTTCGCTGGGCAAAGGGAGGGGATACCGAAGTCTCTATGTTCAGCAAGTGGGATCCACGTTTGCCCTAGTCTTCTAGACTTGGCCGAGCCGCATGAACGCATACAGGAATTCTCAAACTCTCGATTCAGTATTTTGCCTATGCTACGTAAGCTGGCAAACTTTACCGCTCTCTAAACGGGCGTCTGCATTGCAGGTTTTTTTTTAGTATTCAGGCTCGCCTTACTAACCCAAGGTTTACACATGGCCTGATACTGGCACCATTTCGGCTCTGCTGCGGTGCCATTTGATAGATACAGTAAGCCTCCGTATAGGCCCTGGCGGTACGTACCGTAACCGTGGAGCGGGATTACGGGCTCAGACGTTCCTATGATAGGTCTCGGGCCGCCCATATAACATTGGCCGGCCTCTCTCTGCTCGGAAGGGCCACACGGTCGCTTTCGGTCCGAAGACAACCGACTGCCATCATCAGATCCATCAGCACTGGAAACCGTCTTACTCGTCAACGATGCTTTGGCTTGAGTTTCTGGTGCTGATCTTATCTAGTACTCGCGCATTTCTTCGGTGCAAACCCATGTTCAGGACTACCTTAAAGCATGAGATAAAAAAGGGATACGGTGGTGACTGAGACATCGATGACAGTCACCTAGTATATACGAAGTGTTTTCTGCCTTTGATACAATGGCTGTGTTGTACATCCTGGCCCCAAACAGGACAATATCCCCTACAAAAGTGCAAAAACCATGCCCATGATGTTACCAGACCCCACTTCCCCTACTAAACAGTTGGTACACATCGCACGCTTGTCGGATAATGTCGCTTTAATCACAACGGCCGTCTTTCCATCCAGTGCGCCATCGCTCCTCCCATTTGCTACAGTCAAACTCCTTCTTCCCCAACTTACGGTTGACCTCGTTATGAGCCTGGCAAAGCCAGTTTCCAAACTCGCCACGCCCCTCAACCCTTATCTGCTCCCTTTGCATATAAGACTGGAAGTCCTCTGCGCACACCCAGCAGGGGTACAGTTTTGAGAATAGCCTCATGAATCCTCGGAGATCCTCCTTTTGTGCTGACGAGGGCTTCTCGGGGTACGTCGCAGCAATCGAGTGCAGTAGCTGCCAAGTGCCGCGCCCAAGTGCTTCGACATCAGGCGGGCAGTCATCGGCAGGTTCCGAGGTCACTGTTGCACTCTTTTTCAGCGATCCATTCATCTGGGAGGCCCAGCTGGAGAAGGCACTTTTGGAGGAGCAGGATCGACACCTCAACAGGTTCTTCGTCAGTAAGCATCCGCGAGCGAGGTTGCAATAAAGTCTAAACATTGAACAGAAAATACATACGGCTTGCCATCAGGGCCCAGTACCATTCCCTTGGGTAAAGGCTTGGGTGGCTCAGATGTCGTTCTTGTTGTCGTCGTGGCAGCTGGAGATGCACCACCTGACGGGGAGTCTCGCCCTTCATCAGCCATAACTGGAGAATTTCACCCGCAGGGTTGCCTTTGTATCGCAAGTAGCCGAAAGACCGCAACGAACCGAGAAGAAAAGACCCAATGCAACAAGGAACATGAATGGGGTGATTCAAGGTGTGCGATCTTGGAGTAAGTAGTCTGCGGATATTGTCGGAGGAAATTTGTAAGCTCCAAGCTGTTCGTCCGTTAATATTCGAACGTCCTTATCGATAAGCATGGACAGCGTTAGAACATCCAATGGTGGGCTAATGCGACGCTGCCTACAGTGGCGATGCCTGCTCAGTTCGGCTTGGGTCCCTGACCTAAGACCTCCAGTACTGTACAGTGGGGTATCACAGGTCTCAAGCCGCCCTGTAGTATGCCACCTTAAATCCCTTTAGTGGATTATAGTGGCTTACAGTAGAGAGTACAGTAAGACTAATTCTATCTTTTTTTATTTTCTTCTTTTACTTCTTATTTACTCTATATTACACTATTGCTTTAAGTTCAAAGTTAAAATAAAACCTATAATAGTGTATATAAAGAAGTTATAACAATATAAAAGTAAAAAAAAACTATACTTATATATCTAAGTTAGTAAGTTATTTTAAGTGTAAAACTGTAAGTTTAGTGGATTTAAGGTGGTAAACTATTGGGTGGCTTGAGACTTTTGAAACCCCACTGCACATGAGCTGGCATGCAATATGGTAAGATACTCTGATGAGTGTCCACCACGGGTGTTAGGTCGGTCCACCGCTCTAGCCCATCGGTGAGGTGAGATGGCTCCATGGGGTGCTTTCTATCCCTGAACCGCATAAGGGGCCATGAAAGATCTTCCGATTTCTTCAACCCATCCGCCATCTTTTCGGGCCGTCGAGGTGCACTCGTGTTTTGTCGTTGAGACATGGATATCGGTGCGACTGTTTGCAGTTCCAATTGTCCCAGCGATCAGGCTCGCTCTGTTGTGTCGGGAGATCCATCACCTACGACGACAGGGTGGTAAGCGAGATCAGAGGAGCTATACTGGCTTGAGTGGGCAAAAAGAGGGAAAACTACCTAGGACTGCAGGCTCCGAGAATACAATCATTCCACGATACTCCAGTTTGCCGCTAGACAGTAATATCCTCAGAACTCAAGAAGTGCAAGTTGACAAAGAAATACACTTGGGCCCGCTTCGGTGTTAGCAAGATTCTTTCTTCCCCAAATAATAGGTAAACTATCAGGCTCAGAGACGAGGTTTTCTTGACTTGCTTTACCTTACCTAAGACAGTACAGTCAGTACGTAGCTTTTGTTAGGCGGCGCCTCAAGCAGCTGGCTCCCTCAAGCGGGGCACAAGTGCTCCGCCTAAGATGACTCGAAGTCAACTTTGAGAGAAATCCACAAACTATCTACTTTGTGACAGTTATCGTTCTTGTGAGACGAATCCTCTCATCTCATCTAGCTTTCCTTTTGACAAATTTATACACCAGTCTCAATCGTTCTGTCCTGAAATGGCTCAAATCCCCTCGTTGCCTTCACTGGCCAAGGTGCCAGTGCTTTTACTCAAGACCAGGTCTTTACCGAGCGACTCGTACGAGGACCTCTTCTCTCGCAAAGACAACAGCTGGGATTTTGAACCGACTTTCGTTCCTGTACTACAGCACAGCTTTCAGGAGCAGGGCATGGCGACGGTAAGGAATATATTGCATCGCCGCGGTATCAATACAAACCCCGATGCCACGTACGGCGGCCTCGTCTTTACATCGCAGCGAGCTGTCGAGGCATTTTCCAGCTTGGTGGCAGAGAAGAAGAAGGAGAAGGAGGAGGACAACGACGAAGACGACGAGGAGGAGGGTCAGTTAGGCCATCCCGCAACTCATAGCATTGAAGTTTACATCTCCGACAAGGAACCGAGGCTGATGGAATGAACAGAGACCGACGAAAAGTGGCCTCACCTCCAGGATGTACCGGTCTACAGCGTTGGTCCGGCCACCACACGAGCGCTCAATTCAATCTCACAACAACCGCCATTGAAGATTTTCGGAGAGCACACCGGCAATGGCGATGCCTTAGCCAAGTTTATATTGGAACACTACGGCCGATGGTACCAAGACCGGCCGACGAAGCCACCCGTGCTCTTCCTCGTTGGCGAGCAGAGGCGGGATATCATTCCAAAGCGCCTCATGAGTGTGGATCTGCCAAGTGACCGAAGAATCCAAGTGGATGAAGTCGTCGTCTACGGAACGGACGTAATGAAATCTTTCCCACGCGATTTTGCAGAAATCCTTAAGACCACCGAGGACCGGCCGGCACGCTGGGTGGTCGTCTTTTCGCCCACAGGTTGCGACATCATGCTGCGTAGTCTCGGTTTAATGGACGACTCAACGGGCAAGGCAAAGAGGGACGAGTGTGGGGAGCGCAAGACATTCATTGCAACCATTGGTCCGACAACAAGGGATTATCTCAGACGCACATTCGACTTCGAACCAGACGTCTGTGCCGAGGAACCGACTCCGAGAGGCGTTGAATCTGGCATTATTAAGTTCCTTGAGCGGGACGAGCGGGACAGCCGACACTACCAGAAACCATTGGAGAACGAATCAACGTAAAGTTGTACAAGTTCAACAAATGCACTGAGTGGGACCGACGCTGCCTCGAATCCCTTCTCGGATACTTTGAATGCTGCAATCGCACGAGGCATGGATAGGGTGACTCGATTCCTATGTCGTCCCCATCCACGCGCAAATTACGTACACAATGGTTCAGGTCATAATTAACAGACAACGATAACCTTGGTCTCGCACCGATATCATGCCAAGGTGTTGAGATGCACAAGCGTTGGAAGATACCGATGAACATGGATGCCATGGCTAGAGCGTGTATTCTGATTGGCTATTCGTCTTGTTAATTGAGTGTGACGCGAACGCGAAAATTCGCGTGGTTGTCATCCTGCGCGAAACCCCGACTAGAAGTACCGCGTTGCAACCCCAAGTCGCGTAGGTCAAGACTCGGACCGCGTGGTCCCCACCGAATCTGTGAACTCTCGGAATCATCCCCAGCCATATGGCCAGAAGGGAAAATTTTAGGGAAAACTTTCACCAAAGAAACAAATGTAAGAGATGAGGGACAAGAAAAGAGTACTGGAATTAATTCGCTTCAATGAGGGTCTTGCCTTCTCAAAGGACACAAATGACTAACATCCGTCCCACTTCATAAACAAAGACTCATTTCTCCCGGTATGGCCTTGCGCCAGAAATCAACATTGTAAGCTCAGACAAAATACTTTCGTAGTAGCACCCCCCTGGCAACAGTTCATTCATACTTTATATAACGAAATCGTCCTCTCCATCGCAGATCGAACACAGCCTCTTTCTTCCAGGAGAGGAAAAAGAGGCGGGTCGAGGCAAAATAAACAGTGTCATTTTGTTGGCAGAGTTGCTCAAGCGAGGTATGCCATCCTGGTATCATATACACGGTAAAAAAGGAGAAAAGACAGTGCAGGATGTATCTGCTGAGACTTTATGGTCAAGCCAAGGGCTCGTCAAAGGTCAAACGTCTCCTTGTCAGACTGATGGGAGTCCTTGCCGATGAAAGAGTAACAGGTGTTTTCCACGCCTTTTGGGCAGGACTTGGTGTGATGTTGACAAACTCTGCAAAATCGAAGCCCTGCCCTGGCGTGTTGGGAAACATATTACCCCCGCCCGGTGTGGTCATATGGGATGAGGGCAATGTCATGTCGCGGCCAACCTTGGAGGGCGGCGTTGAGGGAGGCTCCATTCTGGTCTTGGCGGATGGAACGGCGGGTGAGGGAGAAGCAGCCAGGTACAGCAAGAGGTCGGCGCCCTCTTCTCCAGATTTGACAGGCGGTTCTCCATTTGTGCCTCTGTCTCTGGTACGACGATTGGGTATGGCGCGATTGCGCATCGGCGGCGTTGTCGGAGGCGAAGAACGGATGTTGGTAGCCCTGAAAGACTGAGTGGGAAGGAGGTCATCTTCGTCGTCAGAGTTTGCGGCGAAGTTGGGCGATACCAGGTCATCTGCCAGTCTCCGAGCTCCCTGGAAGAAAGAGACATCGGGGCCGGTCGACGTGGTGAAATGCTGTTGCCTTCTGGGCTTGATTGGCGATGATTGAGCCAGCTGATGGCTCTCCTTCCACGATGTGTGACTGCGCAAGGATTTTATGGGCGTAGGAGAAGACCGGTAGCGCTTGCTCGGACTGGACGAGGGATACTCGAAAGAGGCCATGTAGGTACGCTTGCGGTGGCCGGTACTCCCGTTGCTCGAGCCGACGGCATCGGAAAACAGGGGAGCCTTCAACGGAGAGCTCATGAGGGTTCTCGTAGGATATGGTAGGTCGGAGGCGCTGGAGGATGAGTCGGACACGACGTCGCCGTCACACAATCGCTTCCGTCGCATTTCCTCTTCGTACTTTGGTTCGATGGTGTCGAGAGTCAAGTCCTCCCAGCCATGCTTGGTCTTGAACTGGGCCAGAGCAAGTCGGTTCTGCAATCTTCGGGCTATCTTTTCAAGGCGTTAATGTCAGCCAAAATCCTGCGTTATGTTTTCCGGCCACTGCAGCGGCCTTTGAATAACCAACCTTGCTGACTTCTATTCTCTTCAACACCTTGCCCGCCACCTCTTCGGGCTGTTGCTTCCACGGAGAAGACATGATCCGAGCATGCATAAGACCACTGGTAGTGTTGTCAAGACGTAAAAGACAGAAATACCACTTTTGGCTGGTATGGTCCAAGGGGTGAACCGTACAAGAGGAAGGTTCCGTAGCCCAGGCGTTGACCTTGGGGTTGGGCGGGAGATTGTATGTATGTGACAAAAACCAAGGTTCGATTGCCAGATTTGGGGGTTGATGAAGAGGCCTAGCAACGCGGAAGAGGAATGATGGAGGGGTTCGGCTGTTCTTCTGGAATGTTTGCGAGCAGGATATGTGCGCAATAGCGAGAGTATGCAGCTTTAACAATGACCGAGAGCGAGTTCTTTTCCTCGATTCAAGGTATGGCGTCGAGGTTTTGCAGTGGTGAAGGACGGGACAGGACGGGATGCCAGACGACGACGGGGAAGGGGGAGATCGAGTGTGAGGATTCCCGTTAGCTTGGCAAATGCAGCGCAGTGAGTGGCCCGGCCTCAGCGGACAGGACGCTGGGGACCCAGACGAGAGGGGCCTGAAGCAAAATTTACACCATTCCCGTGGTAACCAACCGCTGGCGCCAGTGCCGTCGGCAGTGCCAATGTCAGTGCTAGGGTGGCAGTCTCCAGTCCCCGGCTCCAGTGCATACTTAAGGCACGCGCCCTTCCTCGCCCAGCACCAAGCTAGAAGTCCAGCGCTTGGTCAATGGAGGGCTGCTGCCAGATGCAGTTGACCTGGCCAAACACTAGTGCCGTGCGGTCCTTGTGTGTTCTCCTGTTTACAGCGCACCTTAATTAATTGGATTGCTGGTCAGCCGGGAGGGGAGGCCCGAGTCCGTAAGCACGAGGCAAGAACTGATTAAATTGCACTGCCGTGCTCGATGTGGGCTTGCCGGCTGCACCTGGAGCCAGAAGCGTCTGGCCAGGTTCCCCTTACATACTTATACCTACCTAGGTAGGTATACCACGCCCCCCAGTGTCACGGCAACTGAGGCGAGAGGCCAGGGGGCTAGGTGATTTGGAGTGGGATCTCAAAGGTTCTGGGCTCTCTGAGATCTCATGGTTGCCTAGTCGCGGGTCGACGTTGAAAATTTGGACCAAGAAGTTCTTGATGAGGGTTCCTAGTCTGCATTGCTTTCCAAGGCATCTTGATGAGGCTTGTTGATGATTCTCTGGTGATCACACATTGTACTAGACACCCTCAAGGTGAAGCTCCTCGCACGGTCCAATGTTTGTGCGGCGGACAGTTTCGGTCACGGCTAGCACTGAGATGAAGTCTATGAGCAAGAAAGTCTGAGAGTATTTTGGGGCGTCGTATCTATTCAGGAACTACAAGCTGTAATCAGGGACTTACGCCGAACACCGAACGTACAGGGCCGGAACTCGGAATGTACAATACGTATCCGTAACGATGCCCAGCAGAAAGGGGTTCTGTAATCTAGACGTGGATCCATGTTTGCGTCTAGACTATCCGTACGCACTCTGCCAACTTCTGATCCACCAACTCATCAGGACATGAAGTCGCCCAGGTGGGCTTTGCTGAGCGCCACATGTGTCACTGTGACTTGAAACGGGGCGCTCGCGCGTTGAACGCTATTTGGTGAGATCACTGATGTGTGAATAACTACATAGAAAGGGTTCGTCGATGTGCCGAAGCTGGCAGCAGTGAAATGTACTCGTATGGATACATTAGTTGAATGGTTTCTCGCTGGACGAGGACATCAATTTAGATCCCTGTTGCGACACTGTCCTCCAATAGGTGTCTTAATCAGCCAGTCACCGTTTTGCGAGTACTTGCTCCTGTGAGTGCAGCTAGTGTACATATCATGTTGGAATAGTGATAGCATTGCACCTTGTTACGTTGGATGCGAGTTAGGCACGTGTCTGACAGAAGAACTTATTTTGAGGAAGTCTAAGCCTGTGCTTTGTACACAAGCATTCAATACAGCTGTTTGTGCCGACTTGGCAAGTCGAAGTACTGAAAAGCCACCAGAAAACGTTCACGACTTCTGTTCGGTGGTTGGGTGTCCCAGTCTCAGGGTATGTGAAATTATTGCGCGCTGTACATAGCTGCTCGTGGCGTGGCAGGTGGTTTACACATGTATACACCAAGATGGGCGCATGCAGTGTAGTGTATTTAGGTAGGGTGGGGTCGATGACGGCCACCGCTTTCGATACGGAACCGGGTATTGAAATAGATGGTACCTACCTATGCTAGGTAGGTATGTGAGGAGTACAATAGGCGATAAGAGGATTTCTAGATGTACATGGTACAGTGGCTGGATGCAGTAGGAGAGAGATGAAGGGCAGGGGAGAGGGCAGGGGAAACAGCCAAGGCACATATCATTTGACAAGCAGTCGGCCGGCCCCTGATTGGCTTCTCGTATCAGGCCAGGAGAAAACGGACCGAACGATGCTTAGGGAGCACTCGTCCTTCCGTTTCCTTCTCCTGGCAGTTCAGTTCACACTCGACCAAAGAAAAAGCTGAGTCATCAACAAAGATGTCACGTTGATGGATAGCATCCCTAAACCTACCCTGTACATTCCGTAATGACATGATCATTCCATCCTCGTCGTGATGCGATGCTCTGTGGCAACGTAATCGACGGTCGAATCGCTGACCGGAGCTGACTACGGCAACTGGTCTTTGCGCTGTTCCACTTGGGTCAGGCTCGAGGCTCAGAAAGAGCAATGCACCTTGCTCGTCTGATATGGATTGACACGCGACCGCATTCGCATCAGGAGCTGACTCGCTGTTGACCCGAAATGTCGTCCGCACCGGTTGATGAATACATGCAGCGCCCGATCTCGATGACACCGTTGGACAGGGTGGGAAGGCTGGCGCATCGATTGCGGTGCCACCCGCCACAGGGCTGCGAGTGGCTATCTGTACGGAGTATGTCCGCCCATATGCCATGCACCTTACATAAGGTACTGATACATCTTGTCGGTAATTGGCATGTCCGAAACTGGATTGATCGATATCACAGTTGACCTTGGCGGCAACATTCTGGGGTTGCATTCGTCTTGAGATGGTTCTTAATTTGGTAAGTGTCGACCTCCATTCCGACGTCGTTAAACCTCGCCATCATCCCACAAGCGATGGCGGTGATGGTGGTGGTGCACCATCTACTGTCTGTCTCTTCATGCCATGCCTAGTACCCTGCCCGGTTTCGTACCCCTCCCAGATCCTGTTGTGCATTCCTCGCTCCTCATCTCCATGCCCATCTTCATTCCATCCGACCATTTCATGATACCCCCACATCTCACTGGACTTCATCTCACACGCCCAGACAAGCAGACATCTACCGTGGCTCAGGGCAAGCGAGTGTGATTTGGCCAGCTAGCGGTGGCAGTTAGTGCGATTGTTCGCTTCCTGGGGGCAGTTCCATAACCCACCTCCCTAATATCGCAAAGAAGGCGGTTTCCCCTCTACCTAGTCTAACCCATCACCCTCCGTCGGCGCTACTCGCCAGTATCGCCGTGGTGTTGACGACAACAGCGATGCTGGCCCAGAAAACGTAATGCGACCCCGCTTCCGTTGACCGGGGCCTTCTCCAAGCCGCAGATGCACATTTCGGTCTACCTTGCCGCGCTTATGCTAGCGTGGCCATGGAGAAGGTGACCCGACTGCAAGTAAGCAGAAGCAGGCAGGGCCAAGAAGAACCTTAGTCCACGTCACCTAGTAGTTACATAAGTGCACACCAAGGTAGGTACTTATGTAAGAAGGAGGGAGGTGGTGTGTCCTTGTACGGGTACCTCGCCTCGACGTCTCGTTATCTCTCGCCGCCATATCCGTACTTGTGCTCAACAGCTACCTACTTTAGCAGGTGTTGCCCTTTCCACGTCCAGCCTACTTCCTTGCCTTTGCTGAGTCGTTTGCCCACTCGTTCTAATCCTCGCCTGGCCAACAGAGTCCCCCCAGTCGCATTTCAACCTTGCTGTTTCCCACCCTCGAAACAGAGCGACGTCATCAATTCGCAGCTGTCGGCTATCTGCCGGCCTAGGCCTTTCCTTATGCAAGGAAAAGCACACGACGCGCGCAAATGTTCTTTCCTTGCTGCCCTGTAGTCCGTCCAGGACCATTCATTTGTGCTCATGGTCAGTCCAATGCCCGTACTACCTTCTCTGTGTTGTGCCTGATCCGTAACCAAACGTCGACCGGGGGGAGGACCACGCTTGCGGACTGGGCTGTAGGCGTGGCCATAGACGCGGATGTGGACGTCGACTTGCAATATTGATTGACTTTTTTTTTACGGGACCTGGGACTGAGGTGCCTTCCTGACATTTCATCCCAATCCCGTCATCTCATCCCACTTCCTCCGTCTCCCTTAGGTACCCGCAAACTTTGCTAGCAAACTAGTGCACCTTCCTTGCGCTCTTGTTGCGCTTCATAAGTCACCATACTTACTGCCTGCTTGTCCACGCACATCACTTTAAGCCGTTTGCCCCCACCCTATTATACGCCCACTCCTACTCCCACTTCTACCTTGGCACGAACTACCTACCTTGCGCTGCAGATGTCGCTCGCTGATCAGTGACACGGCGCCCGTCCCAAAACTGGATCTCTCCCGTTGCGCCTAGGGACTTCTCCTGTCTTCGATGCCTTTTGAGCTTCCTACTGTTTGGAAACTGCCTCAGCTTTCATCAAACATCATCATCATCAGTCGCGAACCTGACCTCGACTTCACCTCGTGCGTTCACTCGTCTGCCGGTCAGCACATGACAGGCATCTATTGTTGAAGGTGTACTTCGTTTGCGATCGAGCTACCGCGCCTATCGCTCACCATGGCTCCTTCCATTCTTAACTTCAGGGCTCTCCGTCGTCGTTCGAAAGCCAGCTTCAAGACCGACCGTTCAAACACCGACGTCTCTAGCGATGCTAGCAACGCAACGACTCCAACTCTAACCAGCGGTGCCTCAACGCCCCCCTCCATCGCCCAAGCCTCCGACCCTGCTCTCGATCTCCATCTGAAAGATTCCAACCATCCCCAGGCCCGCCCGCCCCTACAGCCTGTGCCTAATTCCCACCGACAAAGTGTATCTGGAATGACTGGTCTTGGGTCTCCCGTTGTCAATGGCAAGTGGACCTTGCCAACATCGCCGTACGCGCCGCGGATCGCAAATGTTACTGAAAATGCCTGGGTAAGTTTTTGCATAAAACGTGCCCCCCCGTTGCTACCTTTGCCCTGTCGGTTCTCCAATCACCTTACCTGACTATGCCACGGGCTCGCGCGGACTGTCGGCCACAGACGGCCGTAGCCGCAGTCAACGACTAGCTGCACATTTTAACCACCCCGCTAACATCTGACCAGGTCTATCAGAAGGTTCTCCTGGTACACGGAACTATCGGCGACCCCTCTCAGCATGCTCTTGATGGCAACCTTTCTGTAACCCGTCTTGACGATGGTTTCCCTCCGACCTCATGGCCTGTAAGCGACTCTCACTTCAAGGCTCTGGTTTACCTGCAGCCGGGGCCCAATAAAATCCGTTTCGACTTCTCGAGCCCGAAGCTGCCCAACAGTTCTTCTTCAAACCCAATCCATGCTTCCTATTTGACGGTTCATATGCTGCCGGTCAACAATGCGCCTCCACTGCAACTCGCTATTGTGGTCGCTAAGGACTCTCCCGAGACCTTTGACGCTGTCCCCGCTAGAGTCGAGCGAGAGGGAAATGGTCTGGAGACAGCAGTGCGCAAATTTCGCATGGCTGCCTACCTCTGGCAGGCTTTCACAGCGGAGCAAATGTGGCGTAACAAACTTGGACGCCGAGTGTTCAGATTCGAGGAGGAATGGGTTGCCGGTACTTCAAATCTGCGGGATCGCGAGAACGGAACCCTCCGCTCCGAGGCCAGGATACACATAATCAGATCGGACAAGACGGTCGCTGAAATCCGAGACCTTGAGCTGGCCCAGCAGAACGAAAAGGCAAGCAAGAAGGGGGACCTGTATGGGATCGCTGCCGAGGCAGTCAAGCAGTACTTCAAACCGCTTGGCGACCAAAAGCAGTACGTTTCTGTGCTGCTGCTTGACACACAATGGGATAAGGAAGCCAATGTCATAAGAGGGCATGCCGCACTGGGAGGAAATGCTGGCGAACTGCAATTGGCCATTTTTGGTTCGCATTGCTTGCAGAGCTACCCCACGAGTTTCGAGGAAGTTGTTCCCGCATTTACGGACTGTACTCCGACCGACCTTGACTTCGTCGCCAACGACTGCAACCAGGCAGGAAGCTCCTGGGAAGCAGCCAACATTGGAATTGGTGCTCACCTACACGAGACTGGTCACCTATTCGGCTGCCCACATCAAGAAACTGGGGTCATGCTCCGCGATTACTTAACACTGAATCGTAGCTTTGTGACCCGAGAGGCTTATTGCTCCAGAACCAAATCGAAGGGCGGGCTGGTATTGCAAACTGACGAATGTGGCTGGCATCGGCTGGACTGCTTGCGCTTCCGCACACATCCGTGCTTCAGATTGCCGAATGACCCTCCAATGAACGCCGACGACAGCGTGCATGCTTTCCCAGTGGAGGGTGGAAACATAGTGGTGATGGCAGCAACTGGCATAGCCTTCATTGAGCTCTTTGCCGAGGACGACGACGTCTGCCGGAAGTGGATCGAATATCCCATCGAGAATGGCTCAGTTCAACGCCAGCTCACATTGAACGACCGCGAACTGCGGGAGAGACTTCCGGAAAATAAGCGCAAGGGACAACTTAGGGTATCGGTCAAGTCACACGGCGGTGGCGCTTTGGACATTGAGGATTTCAAGAAGTTATGTTCCAAGGAGTCTTCCTTTAAGCTGACGCCTGGTCCGCTTGGTAAGACGGCCTACCGAGGAAAGGCACTTGGAACCTCGGCCATGGAGGGCACCGTTGCACAGGAGCTTGTCTTTGACAGTGCAGTCAAATCGAACCTAGTTCTGTCCCGTGTCATCTTTTATCACGGATATGCTGTGGACGGCATAGAATTTGTCTATGATGACGACTCAACGCAATTGTTCGGCAAGAGAGGGGGCAAAGAAGGTGGCGATACGTTCGAATTTGGTAAGTCTCCATCACGCCAGCCGACTAAGTCAAATAGACTAATTGCTTTCTTTTTTCTTTTTTTCTTAAACAGACATTCGCCGTGGCGAGTACATTTCAGGCTTTTACGTCCGCTCGGGATTCTGGATCGACGCTATCCAGGTCCTCACCAGCCTGGGCAGGAGGTCACCCGTATATGGCAATGCCCACGGTGGTTCCGCGTAAGTACAATTGTACAGGAAATTTGGCAAACCTGAGGCTTACTATTCCACAGACACACTTTGATACCCCCGAGAGGATATACCATCTGTGGTGTAGCGGGCTCTTGTGGCGCCTGGGTTGACGGATTCTCGGTCCTGATTGTCAAATAAAGGGCCTCATACGATTCTATCAAATCTGGCAGGTGGTTAATAGTATACACGACAAACAAGAGGAGGAATATGAGGTTCAGTGCTATCATACATGAGTTGCCAGCTGATCTGGCTGCTGTTTGATTTGACAGCTTTTGATACCATTTCTTGGCAACATGCGCCTTGTTCTGGGGTAATTCGCCGCAGCTGCTGCACAGTCTTTTCTTTTCTTCCTTATCGACAGGCATAAAGTACAGAAGCCTGGACTGCGGAAATCCCAGTAAACGGAGGCGTCGTGGACATGGCGATGGGATACAGTACACAATGGTTGATCGATGGGTCAAGCAAGTTAACGCCGGTCGCGAGTGCTTTTGCGGCGAATGGATTCATAATCTATTCCGCCGTTGTAATGTCAAATAAGATGGCTACACATAACCAAACACGAGCAGCACCTGTGGTTTTGCCCTAGATGTAGACGTGTACCGAGCGAGTGAGGAATGAGGTAACGCAGTGTACGTACTAATTTGGCAACGCCTTAGAGCTGGCTTGCTCGTTGAGAAGTTGCGCTGTTTGGTGAGGTCTCCACTGCCACCCGACTCTCGGTTGCATCACGTGAAAACACACAGCTGGTTCTCGTTGTAGTTGCCGCTAAACGGCTTCGAGTCTAGAACGAGAGGGCTATGACGGCATGTGCCTTCCCCAGCTATCCTTGTTGGCTCTCGAGAAGGAAGAGTGTGACCGACTTACTTCATGCCTACCTAAGCCTTTGCATCAGCACCTGCACCTGCTTTCCGCTCCTTGCACCGGCTCTGGAGCTCTCAACGGAAACATCACCTACATAAAGTAGCTCCTCATCCTCATTGCCCCCCTCTTTCTACACTTACTCGTCTCCCACCGTCCTAGCTGCGTAACCAGTAGGATTCCGGACGATCTTTTTCATTTTGAAAAATTGCCAACTTATCCCAGCCCTTCACCAATTTATCCGCGCCAATTGCCGTCTGGAGTTCAGCATTCATCGCAACCATGTCGAAGCGAACAAGCAGCGCAATCACGAACGGCAATCCAGTCAAGGACGCCGCCGACAGCTTAGCCGAGCCTGGTATGTTGACTATCAGCGCATCCACCATGCAGCTGCGTGTGTCCAATGCTGACATCTTGCCCAAACCGCAGCCCACGACAAGCAGAAGCTTCTTCTCTCCGCCGACACTGGCCATTTTTCGCTGATCCGCGCTCTTCATCTGGCCGACGCGATAACTCTTTGCAATGGTGCGTTCTCTCGCCCGCGAATATCTTACATTCATCTAGCCTAGGTGGCAAATTGTGGCTGCTGTGAAGCAGATCGCAGGGGGTGTTTTTGTACGAAAGAGATGGAGCGTACAACTGACGTTTCGTTCAACAGGAGCGTGTGGTGTCATGTCAATCTTCACTTCCCTCCGTTACTGCCTTGGTGATCCGTCGTCCTACAGCACGCTGTACCTGGCACTTTTTTTCCTCCCATTTGGCCTATTCTTCGACTTTATGGATGGCAAGGTTGCGCGGTGGAGAAAGAAAAGCAGCATGATGGGCCAGGAACTAGACTCGTTGGCCGACCTGGTACGTCAAGTGTTGTCATCTTTGCGGATTCGATCGTTGTCTCGTGTTCGTTGGATGGTCCTATCGTCAGCGATGCGTTGTGTCGAACCGAGGTGTGAGTCGATAGCTAACGTTGGCCAAAGATTTCTTTCGGTGTTGCTCCTGCTTCTGTGGCATTTGCTCTCGGCCTGCGTACCCCTATCGATCACGTCTGCTTGACTTTTTTTGTTCTCTGTGGCCTCACTCGCCTCGCTCGCTTTAATGTTACAGTCTCGGCTCTCCCCAAGGATGCAACTGGCAAGAGCAAGTACTTTGAGGGAACACCGATTCCCACAAGCCTTGGTCTCGATGCTGTCATGGCCTACTTTGTTTCTCAACGGTGGATTCTTCAGGATCTCCCTATGGGAACATGGCTCACAGGCTCCGTCTTGGAATTTCACCCCATAGCCCTTATCTTTGTGGTGCATGGGTGTCTTATGACCAGCAAGAGCATCCATATTCCTAAACCCTGAACTAACCTCGCTTTCACAAAAAATAACTGCGGTTTGAGAGGGGAGGCTAGGGGTCCTCCGATCAACTGAGGAAACCAGGCGCCAACAATACTGAGTTATGCTTTAACAGAAGCTAAAAGAGGTCTTGATGGTGAAAACATGGATTGAGTGGGGAATAGCACTAGCAGTCTATGGGTTTTGGCTAGTCCACAAAGCAAATACGGACTGGACCTAGGTCAGATACGTGGTCGATCAACGCAAAGATATTTCGAAGCGCAGACGCACATTTAAAAAATATGCATGATACCCCCCCTCCATTATCATATTGTCTTGTCTTCAGTTCTAGTGAATTATGAAGGGTTTGTATTGTCAGATCATGTCTTTTTTATTCTTTCCTCATGCCATTCAGCCTCAAATGGTAGGCCGCGGCGTCTCTGTTCTAGGCTTTTGCATGTGAGCCGTCACATCAACACCTGCCCTGAAACTATCGTAACATTTCACTTGCAAATGGGCAAGCTTCCTCGTTGCGTTCATTCTTTATCCTTCTCTGCTGCAGCCTTGGCTGCGGCACGAAACGGGTTGTAGGTGCCACGCTCCTCGCGCAGCTTCTTGAGCCTCTCGACGGCTTCGGTGACATCGACAGGTTTGCCACGGTCTTGGCTCGATGTGTCATCGCGGTAGCGGATATTCACCTGTTTATGCTTCATCTCCTCGTCACCCACTACAAAGATGAAGTTGTATTGGCTGCGTTTGTTAGCAACCATTCCTTTCTCTCAAAAAGGAACCCGGGTCGTACACCACTTACCTCAACTGAGCACTGCGGATCTTTTTGGGCAGGGTGTTGCCGGAGAGGTCGACATCGCTGCAAGTTCACATTAGAAAGGCCACTCTCACAAGCTGCGGGGTGCGATGGAGAATAACTTACACCCACATACCCTGCTTCTTGAAGGTAGCCTGCACCTCTTCGGCGTACTCGACGAAGCCCTTTCCAACAGGGATGACCATGATTTGTCTTGGGCTGAGCCAGAAAGGCCACTTGCCGGCGAAGTGCTCGATGAGGATACCTAACATGATTTAGTCAGTAACAATTACTGTCCATGGTTACCAGTTACCAACCCGTAAATCGCTCGATAGATCCAGCCATAGCGCGGTGAATGATAACGGGACGCTGGCAGCCGTTGGTCAAGGGCTTGATGGTGCGCTTCTTCTCCTTCTCCTCGCCGGTGCCGGCGGCAGAGTCAATTATGGCTTGGGGGTCCTTAGCCTTTACCTCCGGTGCCTTGGGCGCAGCAGGGGCCTCCTCCTTGGCTTTGGGGGGCGCATCTGCAGAGACGTACTCCAGGCCAAAGTTCTGGGGGAGCTGGAAGTCAAGCTGAATAGTGGCACACTGCCATTCACGGTTCAGGACGTCCATGATCTTGATATCGATCTTAGGGCCGTAGAAGGCACCATCACCCTCGTTCAGGGTCCATGGCACACCGGCTTCGGTGAGTGCGAACTCGTCCAGCGCCTGCTTGAGCATATCCTCTGCTCTGTTCCATGTCTCAAGCTCACCCAGGTACTTCTCTGGGCGGGTGGAGAGACGGAGCTTGAAGGTGAAACCCAGGAGGCCGTACATCTCACGGAGGAAATCAAACAGGTTGCTAATCTCCGACTTGATCTGGTCTTCTCTGCAGAAAATATGCGCGTCATCTTGCTGAAATCGGCGCACACGGGTAAGACCCGACAAGGCACCACTAGCCTCGTTACGGTGGAGGACTCCAAAGTCGGCAACACGCCAGGGCAGCTGGTGATAGGCCTTGGGCGTGTGAGCGAACATGAGGCAGTGGCCAGGGCAGTTCATGGGTTTCAGACCAAACTTCTCCTTGTCGACATCGATGACAAACATGTCATCCTTGTAATGATCCCAGTGCCCACTGATCTTCCATAGCTCCGCATTGTACATGTTGGGGGAGATAACCTCGTGGTAATCACGCTTGAAGTACTGCTCTTTGATGTAGGCGAGAAGCGTGTTGTAGATACGCGCGCCGTGCGGCAGCCACATGGCGCTGCCGGGGGAGAGCTCGTGGAAGAAGAAGAGTTGCTGGTCCTGGCCCAACTTGCGGTGATCACGGGCGGCGGCTTCCTCGAGCCATTTCTTGTGCGCAGCGAGTTCCTTCTTGCTGGGGAAACTGACACCATAAACGCGCTGGAGGGAGTCGTTCTCCTGAGAGCCGAGGAAATATGAGGCGCTATTCTTCATGATGCTGAAGGCCTCAATACGGTCGGTGCTGGGGACATGTGGACCACGGCAAAGATCGATCAAGGGACCGTTGCGGTAAACCGTAGTCTTGGTACCGTCGGGGATCTTGTCGTTGATGATGTGCTGCTTGTACTTGTTGTAGCTGAACATCTCGAGTAGCTGCTCCTTAGTCAACTCGAGTCGCTCGAATTTCTGTTTCTCCTTCACAATGGATCCAACGATAGATTCGAGGGGCTTCCAGTCGCTAGCCTGGACAGCGGCGCCTCCAGGGAGAGCCATCTCGTAGTAGAATCCGTTATCGACCGGGGGGCCAATGCAAAGAGAGCATCCAAATCTCCTCTCGCAAGCCTCGCCAAGAACATGCGCCGAGCTGTGCCAGAAGACCTGCTTGCCTTGCTCGTCATCAAAACTGAGTAGCTCCAATTTGCAGCTCTTCTCCAACGGTCTGTCCAAGTCCCACAGCTGATTCTCATCGCCATCAAGTCGAGCGACAACGGTTCGCTTGTAAAGGCTGTTGGAGATACTCCTGGCGATCTCGCCGGGTGTAGTCTCGTAGCTCGTGCCCTGGCGGACAGAGCCGTCGGGCATGGTGATGGTAATGGGCTCGCGCGGCCTCTTGGCAATTTCGTCATCATACTCCTTTTTCAACTTGTCGAAGAGTTCGATCCTCTTTTGCAGAAATTCAGGAGGGGGATTGAGTTCAAGGGGGCCAGCTGAGGCATCGCCAGTATCCTTGGCCTTCTTCTCCTTCTTGGGGGCTTTGTCTTTGTTGGAGCCGCCGAGGGCGACCTTCTTGACACCCTCGGCAACGGACTCAACAGTTTTCTTCGCTGAATCCATGATTTCGTCCAGTTGAGAGGTCACGACGGGTCGGTGAAGGGGTGAAACTCGGCAAAGAGACGATGTCGTGTCTCTGGACAATAATTTTGGGCGAAATACAGCAAAAGTCAACCCCGCCAAAAGCTGCGGTGAGTCAAACAAGGGTTCGGGTGACTCCAAGACGCGCTGTGTCCCGCCATACCACCACCCCTCCTCTCTGCTGAGGTACGTACTGAGAAGCCCCACCAAGAGACCGAACTGACTGGTTGTTGAATTTTACGGCGGGGTCACCCAGGGAGAACTATCTTCCGGCCCGCCAGACGCGACCAATGATGTAACTCGATTGGCTTGTACCACAATTTTGGTCCTGGAAATTTTCCATCGACTGGCAGATGGCTTCGCTTTTCCAATAGTAGCACTTCAGCACCAGCAAAAAGGAGCAGCTCCAAACGACAACAGTCAATCCACCCATCAACATGTCATTTGGACGAGGAGCTCCGCGTGGTCGCGGCGGTGGTGGGTTTGGTGGTCGCGGTGGCGGTGGTTTTGGCGGTATGTTTCAATCAATTCTCCTTCGTGATACCCGTCATTGTCTGGGAGAAATCATGTGCGCGCTGCAACAACTTGCTAACTCAACCGTGCAGGCCGTGGTGGCTTCCAGCAGAGGGACATGGGCCCTCCTGCGACAATTCTTGGTATGTTTAAATCGCCCTCTGCGACGCGTTTCGTGGAAAATCATTCTGACCGCATCTTTTGCAGAGATGGGCAAGTTCATGCACGCTTGCGAAGGAGAGATGGTCTGCGAGAGCATCAACCCCAAGGTCCCTCACTTTAACGCCCAGATCTTCCTCGAGAACAAGGTGCGACCGTCTTCCGAATGAAAACTTCACATCATCGATCCAAACAGACTCATCTAACTGTCCTACAGACCGCTGTTGGCAAAGTCGACGAAGTCCTCGGACCCATCAACCAGGTTTACTTTACCATCAAGCCCTCGGAGGGTATCCAAGCCACCTCCTTCAAGGAAGGTGATAAGTTTTACATTGGATCCGAGAAGCTCCTCCCGCTGGAAAAATTCCTTCCGAAGCCGAAACCCCCTCCGGGTGCGCCCAAGGTCAAGCGAGCAGGCCGCGGAGGCCCAGCAAGAGGTGGCCGTGGTGGCCGTGGAGGCTTTGGAGGTCGCGGAGGTGCGCCGAGGGGTGGTCGCGGCGGTAGTGGTTTCGGCGGCCGCGGCGGCGGTGGCCGTGGCGGCGGCGGCGGTTTTGGCGGCCGCGGCGGTGCGCCGAGAGGAGGCGGTGGCTTCAGCAGTGGTCGGGGCCGGGGTGGCTTCAGCAGAGGAGGCCGGTAGGCTGTGGCTTTGATCAGCTCAGAGGAGGGGAGGTTTTCTTCTGTTGGACTACGACTCTGGCGTTCTGGTTTGCTTTGCTTTCACATCGGCCCTGACGGTAGGGGCTCGAGACTGCATGTACATCATCCATTGCGGTCACCCAAAAATAGAGAAAAGTCTTGATCGCGAGCTTTCAGGAAGCCCACATTGCGATGCATACCACTTATCTTGGATGTGGATTATGAGTTGGGCCTGAGGATGCCTTCGACGACCTTACCACTCACGATCGACACATCTATGGTGCGATTCAGCAGTCCGACAGTGACGCTGAAATAGGTTGGTGCCACAGTCGCAGCCGGTCAGCGGAGTATGGAGAAATCAAATTAAGGCGTGTCATGATGGCGTATCGGATTGCTTCTATCCATCCTCTCCTGATGATGCCGCTGTCCCCGATATGATGGTGCCTATTCAACGATACCCAACCACGCCTTCTAGGATTGATCCTTCCTATCGCTTTTCTACCAAAACGAGTGAGACTTACAATTCGGCTACATCGACCTCCAGTCATGTTCCTATGACAGCATGAAAGACGCGACGCGCCAATGAAGTCATGGGAATGGTGGTAGATATTATGATAGCAATGACGAAATCTTTTAGACAACACTTTGGGAAACAGCACGCAAATGGGGATAGAATGCTTAGACCTGATGATCTAGTGAAATCAGGCTGGCGAGCCTCGAATCCTGATACTGACTCTCCTATCTTCAACGGCATGGTTCAGGCGAACCCTCAACTCTCCAAACCGAGCACAGCTCCTTCGACCTTCGATATTTGTCGAGACTTGCCAAACCCGGTGTCACTTGTATCGCCTAGCCTTCTCCCGATTCGGCCACGCCCGTGGTTTCGGCGGCTCTTGCACTGGGAAATCTGCCAGTTGCGCGGGCTCTATCTCCAAGCGCCTCGAATATGGACGATACTCCAGAGCTCCAGATTCACGAACAGGACCTTTGATCCCTCCGAGAACCTAAGTAATCGACATTTGCATCTTGAAGAGGGTTGTCCCCAAACTATTCGAACAACTTTCGGAGTATCTCGGCTTATTCGATGCCGCTTGAGGATCGTCTTTAGCCAGCGGGTGAGATACTCTACGGAAGCAGCATCATCAAACATAATCCAAGAGTACGGTGCGACAATCATAAGAAGCATCTTTGCCAAGTGTAACCAAGCCATCTTTGCCAGTCGCTGCCACTTCCTGAAAAAGGCAACTTGGCCACAGCCGACGTCTACCCAGAGGATATCGCTTGTGACGGTCGTCAGTCTTTGCCGGGTTCTTACGTTCGCTAGCCTCTCTTAGGCCACAGCTCCAGCCCTGGGCATCTCCGAGTCTTTCACAGATGTGAAGACCGGCCAGCGCTTATGGTTTGCCGCGGCTTGCGCCCTTGCCGTGGGCGCTTCTGTTCTACCTACGGCACAATTAGTAGACACATTCGAGTCCAAATACGTCACCATCATCGGATGTCTCTGGCTCATACTCTGGAGTTTTCTTGTAAGCTTCTCTCTGAGCATGCAGGGGGGCGGATGCAGCGGTATCATTTACTTTTGCGACATGCAGAGCATTCGCCCATCCTTTGTGTCCCCAACACCTTCTCTATTCTCAGGAGGACACTAGCCCCAGGCTCCAGGGGGAAAATGGCATTCTCGCTTGCCAGTGCCGCAGCGTCCATGGGCTTCGTCATTGGTGTGGTTATGTCGTCCCTTTTCTCCTTCGATGTAGCTTGGGAGTGACCCTTCTTTGTCGCTGCTGTCTATGTCTCGACTGCAGGATGGAGCGTTCTTATACTCCCGCTCGAGGCTCCGCTGAAAACAACATGCGCCAGTAGCACATGAGTGCAATTCGATATATCGGGCGCACTACTCGGTGGCAGCGCTCTAATATCGACCAGCTTCGCATTCAACCAGGCACCGCCTGTAGGCTGGCATACCCCATATTCAAACCTCCTCCTCGTCAAAGGCGTCTTGTTCTTCTTCGACTTCGTCAACAGAGAGACAATGCTCATAAGTCCATTGCTACCCTTGGTCATCATTGAACCGCCGGCGATCCTGCTTTTAGTTGACTTACAGCGGCCCATGTCGTTCAGCTTCTGTAGCAGCTGAGAGATTGGAACCCGCTTCTAACAAGCGCAGGTTTCGACTCTGTCGTTGTAGAGGCACTTGCTGTGTCATCACTGATTGCCTATATTATGTCCGGAGTTGGGGTATACGAAACAAACGGAGAATGAACAAACTGAATTCCCTCTTCCTAGCCAAGAGGGGGGTTCTCTCTACTAATAGCAAGATCCGACAAAGAACAGCCTCTGGTGGGCCATGGTACACACCCGAAGTTACACGAATGTTGCCTGCAGCCAACAAGAGCAGTGAAAGGTCTGACAAAACAACTGCATACTGCCCATTTCTCGTGTTCGTCTTATCCTTCCTTCTGGCGTCCATCTTGATGGCCACGGTACCGCCTGAGCAGACTTACTGGGCCAGCACCTTTGTGAGTAGCTTTCTCGAGCCTCTAGCCATGTTCATGGTGATTCCTCTTGCGTTGGTATTGTTGCGAAAGAATTTGCCAGATGCCCATCGACGTATGTCAAGGATTTGGTCTTGACGTGATCCAGCTGCGCGATGTATTTTTCCCTAGGAATGGCAAGTTTGGCTGAGGTACAAGTGAAGGAGGGTGATTCAAGCGTCTTGCACGGGTTTAGAGGGGCGCAATACCTTGGCATAGGACTTGGATGTCTAGGGGCGCAATTGGCAATGGCAGTCATGGTTCAGGTGGTGGTATTCAGAGGCACATGAGAACGTGTGTAGCTTGAGCATTTGTGGCGCTGGGAGGAGTTCTCGTAGTCTTATAGAGTTTCCAGAGAACAAAACGTGTTTAATAAAGGGCATGAGAGAGCAGATGAGCTACTAATAGATGGGGCTAGGAAAAAGGGGGCTGCCGTCCTGTTTACTCGAGCAGCATCATGTTTCCTCCAGCATGTACCTTTGCCAACCAGAGAAGAACAGTGAAGAAAATTTGGAAGCAGATGTAAGAATATCAATCATGAAAAAGAATGCAAAAAGTTCCTTCATCACCCTAACCTTTCATGTTGAAATCAACCTAACCCATTCATTCAATCCTTCTCAAACCACATCCCCACCACTTCCTCTGCACAACATCATCGTCTCGAATCAACCGCTGCCGCGTTTCCCTTGGGATATTCTCCAGGAATATGCAGATTTGAGATTGTCGGAACGCTATCGTTTCTGACAGTGCCAGAAGTAGGGCGGATGGAAGATACTGGCTGCTGTTGACGATGCGCTTCTTGACTCCTGGGAACAGATATTGGAGCATTAGCAGCAAGGACAGACGACCCGTCTTGCGGAGGGATTCTGTCTCTACGAGAAGCATATCCTTCGTCCATTCGGACGATGGGGATCGTAGTGACACCATCCAGGTTTCGGTTACCCAATGCCGAGTATTCACTGGTTTGTTGCTGGATGGAATCATTGTTTGGGACAGCAGGCGAGTACTTTCCGTCGCTGTTCATCCATTGGCCGTACTGACTGTTGCCGCCGGGTGTCTCAAGAACACGATCGTGGTTGGCGGTAGATACCGGTCTGGAGTCTTCGTATCTGGCAGGTGTCGCATGTTGGCTATGGGATTTCTGCAAATCGGTGGCGGGTATATAGACTGCCTGCTGCCCTCTAGTTAAGGACTGCGATCGTCGAAGTGACTCGCGGGTATATGGGTTTACTCCGTCTTCTCGAGCTTGTTGAGTCACCACAGCAGCATGGGATGGGACCTCCTCCATGGGTGTCCGGTCCGTACCACCGTAACCGTTCGGATGCTCAGTCGAACCGTGATAAACGCCCAAAATGCTGCCCGACAAGGCAGATGGTTGCATGGCTGCGTCGCCATCAGAGTTGTCGAATCCAGAACTCACACTAGAAGGCGAAAGAGGTGCCTGTAAGCCTCGCTGCGCGTTGACCTGAATGTCAGATGGAAACCGCCCACCTGCTTCCGGACGGCGGACGTCATGCCTCTGACTCATACTTGCTGCAACCGCTGCGTCCGCCGAAAATGGCTCATCATCGTCGTCTTCGAGAACGCCATCGCTGCTTGTGGATCTTTGCGAAGACTGGCTCAAGCTTCGCACGTGTCCGCGGACGAACTCCCTCCTCTCTTGAGGAGACCTCTCGGTGAGAACCTTGATATCTTCGTACCAAGCCATCATTGTGTCATGGCTCTCGGCCCGGAAGACCCACGTATGACCACGATGCATCGATCCGGTTTGGCGACCCTTGAGGATGAATTTGTTGGAGGACCCTCCCTCGCTAGAGTGCGAACCTAGTTTCTGCTCTGGAAGGTACAATGACATAACAGGAGCTTGGGCCTTATCCGCTGACTTGAATTCATGAAGATGAGTTGAAGAAAGTACATACCTGTGTGTTGTTAATATGACGTGTTCGGAAGTCATTGTATTGCAAGGAACATGGGTCGACTCACCACCCAGCTGTGTAGCTCTTAAGGTACTTGCTCTTGCGCTCGAGGAGCCCCGCACGAATTTCCTGGCATGCGACGTGCTCTCGGCCAGGGTAGTGAATGTGTTCGGCAGACCGGATTGGAATGTCAGGATCCACGAACTGATCGTCTTTTTGGACGAAGTGCGCCCACTCGTGATCTTTGGGCATAGAAATGGGGCCGGCACGGAGCTCGTCGATGGCGTTGTAAGCGGCATCAGACTCGCGCTTGAGGATGCCGGCGTAGGCATTGCAAGCCTTTTGGACTTCGCCCACTACGATGGCTTCAAGTTCGCGGCCAGAGTTCTCCAGGTTCAAGTATGCCTGGTGGAGGTAGTTCTCCTCATCGATCTGGCGCTCAACTTGTCTGTCGACGGCAAGCCGCAAAAGATATGGGTCTTGCTTTCCAGTCGTCAACGAGGGGTCCAGATCAGTTTGGCCCAATGTGTCCTGCAGCACCCTAACAGCGCGCTTGGTACCATCCATCTCCTTGTCTACCGAGTTTTTAAAATCGCCCGACAAGTTCTTGATCTCTTTGATCTTCTGGTGAAGGTCGTTTCTCAACCCAGTGAGGGCTAGGATAACATCCTCTTCGATCTCCTTTGACTTATTCGACTCCAGAATGGCGCCCTTATGGTAGCTACGCAATATTTGTAGAGCATCATCGATGCCGCCAGAGCCCAGGAAGCCAGGGGGGGTCGAAATGTTGTTGGCGACGTTGGCGAGCTTCAGCAGCGATTTGGACTTGTGCTCATAGTGTGTCTGGATTTCGCGGTAATATGCAATAAGATCTTTGAGGATCTTACGCCATGCTGCAGCAAACAGTCAGTAACTTCAATGGACGAGGTTACGCAGAGAAAATTTACACTGGAATCTGGCGGCCAAGGCTTCGGTCGGATTTCCTGATGTCGGAACAGGGCAATGGAATGCGCTATGTACCTCGTCGGGGTCGTTTGAAGGCTGCAGAGCCAAGCTGCGTACGCTGCCAGCCTTCATGCTTCTCCGACTGCTGCTGCGCTTTAGGCTGCCGTTCCTACGCAGCGAACTCTTCTTCTTGAGGGTGTTGTGGCGCGAAGGGAGGCTCAGATGGTCCTCCCCATTGTTGGAGACAAACGAATTGGATCGCTGCATGTTGGACGAATAGCCTTCGATAATGCTACTTCCTCTTTGACTCGCATCCCATTCTTCTGTAAACTTGCCACGAGCAGTAGCGGAAGGGACTGCCAGGTTGTTGCCGCTCGTGTCGTTGTGATTTGCGACGTCGCCTTCTGGAGGGAAGTGTTGCTTCTGATGTCCAGCGTGTGAGTTGGCCAAGGTATTGTACTGCGTCTCTCGATCTTCGTCGTATCGTAGAGTATCAGTCTGTGGGGGGGTAGAGTACGAGGCCGCGATGGGAGTCGCGGTGTCAGAGAAGGGCTGGGGGGGTTGTTGAGAGAAATAGGACGAGGCGCCATTTGAGTTCATGCTAGTCGCGGTGCCGGAGCCAGCTGTTCCATCTACGTCTCTTTCACAGTCCAGTTCCCTCCCTTTCTCCCTGTACGCGTCGGAGTCGGCGAGGTGCGGTACGTTGTTGGGCCTGGGCGTTAGAGAGGAAGACGATCTAGCGGCCATCGTATGGTGGTCTCAAAGACACCAAGACACCTTAGGTGCCGGTGTTGGAAAAGAGACAACCCAGATTAGCGTAATGGCGGGGGTCAGTGGTGGCTTGTTAGACAGCTTTAGCGCGACAAAGAAGCGGAAGTGGGCGACTTTCGATGGTTTGAGGTGGTCTAGTGTCTCTAGAGCGCCGTGTGTTTGACGCAATGGCGAGTGGAGGGCTCTGTCGGGCTTGGACCAATGTCGTCATCAGCTGCGGTCGAGTCGTAGTAAAGATTCCCGATTCGGCTCAGTGGAATGCTGGCTACCCTGCGCGAAGGGGAGAAAAGTGACGCTTCTTCCTCAGTAACCATGAACGGCTCGACCCGAAGAAACCTCAGGATTCGCCGGAAAGCGGGTTTGACGTGCTCCGTGTGATGGTGATCTTTGCACTGTGACACGACCTCTGGCGCTCTTAGGTCGCAACTTTGCCACCGTTCACCAATCAAATTACTCACTCAGCTTCGGTAGGTGCAACAGCGTGCTTCCACATGTCACCCAACGCCAAATCCCACATTTTCATCTCACATTACATCCAGCCTGACATTATGCCCGCTTTTGCTTCCCGCAAACTGACGGGAATAATGGGAGGGTAACGAGGTCCTCGGTTTGCATCCAGTCTCTAGGGTCCCTGCTCCCGTTGCGACAGTTCGTGGGTTATCCCTGACAAGGGGAATCAAGTACACTACTCACTTGCTGTCCGTCCGTCTCTAGCCGAGATTTGCACTTATGTGAAAGCGTCTGGGAGGGTTCGCAGCTGCGGCAACGTGCCCCCGTCCAAGGCCCATGCCAAGCGGCAAGGCAACTGGACCCTGGATTGCGTCTGCTTTTGCAGGATTGTGTTCGCCTTCACCATTTATTCTATTTGACAAATATTGACCTGGCCTGGATAGGTGAACCTGTGAAATGGATAGCAGGTCCAAAGCCTGTTTACAGCAAAAAAGATAACCCAAAGAAGAGTCGAGGGGAGGACCCATTAATAGCTCGAGGTCACTTCACAGTGCGCCGCGAAAGACCTTGTGCCTTAGCCACCCACTGTAGCTTTTGATTGGCTGTCCTTATTGCTGTAAACTGACTTTTGACCTAGTGTCGTAAGCAGTTTTGATGGCATTACACCCGTTTTCGCGCTTGAGGGCCGCCGCGATTGCGATAAACAAAAATCCAAGGAACCTTACAGCGCATCAGCCTGCCGGTGACGTAACCCCACTGAATGTTAACAGTCGTTGCTGAGGTGCAGTACAAGGCGGTCCTTCTTAAGGTCACACAGGGTTACAGTCATTGTTGCAGCATCGCCATCAACCCCCACATGACAATGACGGCCTGCCATTTCCCTCTCACCACCCACACACTAGATCCTTAGCCTTTTTTTCTAGCTCACGGATGGCTGCGAACCCGTTCTTTATCGGCCACGAAACGACCTCTCGCCAAGTTTCTTTTCCGCTGTAATACCTACCTACCGTGACACGTGTGGTTTGGCAATGTCTGCTGCTGCACTGACTGGCCCGAGCATTACTAACCAGGCCGGAATCCCCTTTTTAGCTGAGCCTGAAAGCGCCATTCGACCAACGGCGTACTAACCGTAGGCTAGACCAAGCCCTAAGAAGTCATGATCGTCATCGACTCCTCCTCCTGGCCAAGGGTGCTGGCAATAAGTGATTGCCTAGCATCCGAGTTAGGCTTTGTTTCCAGTTTCTGACCAACTTGGGGTTCTCGGGGTCTCCATCAAAGATACAGGCTATTCAAATACACATCACAGGACCCTCCTGTATATACCTATATTTCGTCCCGAACGTCACTGCAATAGCACTAATAGCATTAGCTATGATGAGTTGAATCGCTTAGGATCTTGCACGTGCTGAGTCACAACGTCTTGAATCAACACCCCCTTCCATTTGATCCATCACCGAAGCATTATTTGGTCCGGTAGGTCGCCTCCAAGCAATCGACGAATTACACCTGCTTCATAGGACCACATGTGTCACATTGCCCGAGGCAGACTGGCATGGCTCAAGGCGCCCTTCCCGGGCCGGGACCCCGACCATCATCCCACATTAAGAAGACGCGTGAAGTCAACAAGGCTTTGCACCTATGGCTTGCTCGAGCCTATCAGTATCTACGTGGATAACGAAGTAAGTTTATTGAAGAATCAGGTTTGTGGAAAACATGCCGCAGGGCAGCTGCCACGTGCCGCATCTGATATTGACCTTGGCCCATTTTGTTGATTACTGGGCATGTACGGAGTACGTTGGTGGCAGATCACCCAAGGATACCTCGACGGCGCACGCCTTCGCCGTCCTCTCTATCTGTCCCTATTCTTCTTATTGCCTCCGCGCTTGGTGTTCCCATCGACCCATCTGTAGGCCAATTCTCCATATACTACAATGTCAAGAGTACGAGTGATAATAAAGTTGGAACCACTTGGTCTTTCATTTGGCCAATGCAATGTTTGGTACATTACGAGCTGGTGGTGAGCGTGCTGCTGAGTGAAGTGCACATGCCATTCGCGCGGAAATGCCATTTGAGTGGGCAAAAGATCCGGCCGTGGTTCTGCCGCTTATTCATCTCGAAACTTGTGTGAAGATGTATCATACTAGGGGGATCCCTATTGGGAATCCAAAGCCACTTCCTTTACCAATTGTCTTTCACCTTGCTTCCGCTGTCCCGTCTCCACAATGCTATCCGAGTTGCGTTGTCTGTGCCTCTGAGTTTGGCGAACGGGGTCTGATATCGTTCATCTCATCTCGATTCGACCAGAATGCGAGCAAACTCTAATTTGCCTCTACCTACCAGTACTTGTCTTTGGCTCTTGCCGGCCACACTTTCGTCGTTATCCACGATCGGAGCTCGGCCACCTGGTTGGCCTGAGACCAAGTCACTCGTAGAGGCGCGCGGCAACAATGTCCAGCCAAAAGTTTTAGTCTTGACAGGCTGTTAGGACAAAGCCTACAAACAATACGCAGTTCTTGGACCAAAAAGATGTCACCCCTCGAAACCCAAACGCCCCTGCCATGCTATATATGACCGTGATACAAAATCTCGACGCTATCCCGAAGGTCGTGATTGCCATGCCTCTTATGCTTTCAAGCCCAAATCCTGCCATGGTTGACAAACTGAGCAAACGCCTGTCCCGTTCGTGTCATCATTCGGTCCGGTCATTAGGACCGGAACCAGCCAGCACACATACTTTTCTCAACCATCAGGCGTAGAAGAATTATCCGCCACCGATTCGATGGGTTTCAGTTTTGTTCGCCGCCGTGGTGGCGGCGCTTTGGGTGGTATCTTCTTGTGTCCATTGAAATGCAACGTCGACGTCGGTCCGACAGGAACACCGTGTCGATGTTTCGGTACTTCGGGCAGCGGCTTCTTCGGCCGTACCGTATCTGGTCCAGACTTTACTTCTCCCTGCTTGGCTTCCGCGTCTGCTTCGGCCTTGCGACTCGGGGTGATGACGCCGGGTTTCTCCATGACGGCCGCGACGTCGACCACACTAACGCTGCTGGCAGTCTGCGAGCGAGAGAGACTGATGCCCAAGAACTTCCGAGCCACCTCTGCCTCGCCGGAAGACTCCTGGTCGGTCAACCATTTCACTTTGGAGACTCGATCAACCAGCCTCACTGTAGTCTCGTCAGCGGGCGCAAAGTGTGAGTTGCCGAAACCGCCTAGGATTCTCAAGACCTTGAGGATCTCGCCGCGTTTGTAGTGAGGCGGGTGGCTCAGTTGCGTGTGCGCCAAGAGCGGGTATAAGACGCGAAGGTACGTATGACGCAACGATATCTTCTCGTCCGGCAAGTCCATCAGGTTTCTAATGATAACATCGAGGAGAACCTTAAGGTCATTGGTATAAAAGTATTCGTAGGTGGCTTTGGTTGTAAACAAAAGGTAGAGGAGTTTGAGGATCAGGAGCTGCAGAGATGTCTCGGTTTCGCGATTCAACAGCAGAATGATATTCTCTCCGAATGTGCGGAATGAGTCGCCATGTAGACTAAGGCACTTGATGACCCTGTTCGTAAGGGGCGCGTTTGGGGACGTGGGGTCGGCGACGACGTCGGTAGACGCGAGCATGTATTGTTCGTTCAGTACCAACTACTACAGGGTCAGATGCGAAGATGATGCACACGGTGAGCGGATACGAAGGAAAGCATACCAGCACGCGTATGATGGGATAGTGATACGGGTCGTGGACGTCATTAGAAAGCTCCTCGATTATCTGGAAGAGGTACGCGATGAAGCCATCGTCCACCTGCAGCAGGTCGGCAGTGCGCAAGCGCTCGATTCGGGACATCTCGTACATCAGCTCGAGTAGCAGGCGATGTAGCCTCAGGTCCTGGTCTTTGCGACCGTTGATCAGCTCGAGGAGGCGAGGGAAGCATGCCTCCTCGATCATGTGAGAGTACGTGGACTCGTCGGCATGACCGTCGAGTAGCAGAAATAGCACGATAGCGTGCAGCGATGAAGGGTCATCCTCCTGAAGCAAACTGTAGATGATTTGGGTCCGGATGTAGTCCTTGTTGTCTCGAAACAGCTGACATTGCAGCAGCTTCTCGCAGCAGATGGCGACATCGTCCTCTATTTCGGGAAACTTGTCTCTGAACCTCGAAGTAAGGTATAGCCAAGCCCTTAGGGTCTCGTCGATCAAATCGTGCGATTGGTATTGAGTCGTGACGACGTCGTCGAGCTCTGTATGGTTGGCGTGTCCTGTCAGTTGCGAGGCTCTAGAAGCCCATCTCGCTGGGCGACAACTTGAAGAGTAAAGAGAAAAACCATCGACAAGACGAGACACCGGAGCGGAGAGGGGGAGGTTTGGATGGATTGGTTGACTGACCTTCCCAAAACTGGTGTTGGGTTTCAAGGGATTCGTAGACGTCAAACTCGGCCATGATGCTAGTAACCACCGTGGATTGATGAACAGTGTGGTCTGCATCACTGGCGCAGTGCAACGAGCGACTGCTGCAAAGAAAGACAAGGAGAAATATTTGGAGAGATGAAGATGAGGCCGGCTGGAGTTTCGACTCTTTGGGACTTGATACAATGCATGGCTTGCGAACAAGGGCCCCCTCTTGGTTGGGGTCGGGGTTCTAACTCGGGACAAGTCAGGTCAGGTCGAGGCAACAGGTGCAGCGCAGCAAGAGTGCAAAAGGTGGGGGAGGACGACGACGGGGAACGGTAGGACGGCAGAGGTGGGGCAGTAGCGGTAGATGGCACAAGGTTGGTCACAGTGGAGGGAGGGCATGAGGTTCGGTGTATGAGTCGGCGAATGGTCAGCCCGACTAAGCTCTGTCGCGTTGGAGAGAGTGTACAGGTTGAGAGGAACGATCCAGCCCCCCAAATAAATTAAAATACTGCACTTACCTACCCACTAGAGAAGCGCTGTCTGTGTTGGCGAATCTTACGCCCAACCGTAACCAGGCTTCCCCCCCATTCTCTATCCTCGTCCCGTTTCCTATCCCTTCGTGTATTGTACAACCTGAGGAAGAAAAAAAAAAAAAAAAGCACGAACCACGCGCGCGCCCCTGGTTACACATCATAGGACATCATAGGCCATCCGTTCTCTTTCTCACCTCGACCTCCCCTCTCTCCCGTACTCACACGATTTCTCCATCCTCCGTCACGATGCTCTCGAGAAGACTTGTCGCGACCGCGCGCTCGGTGCCATTGCGCCGGTATCAGCCCTGCCAGCTTCCGCTACAGTTGCCACAGATGATGCAGCACGTCCGCAGCTATGCCGACAAGATCGTTAAGGTGCCGCAAATGGCCGAGTCCATATCCGAGGGTACCTTGAAGCAGTGGACCAAGCAGGTTGGCGACTTTGTCGAACAGGATGAGGAAATCGCAACTATCGAGACTGACAAGGTATCATTACCCAATCGTGCAGTCGCAATTACTGTGAAGCATTTGCTGACCCCCTTTTTCTTCTCTAGATCGATGTCGCTGTCAATGCCCCCGAAGCAGGTACCATCAAGGAGTTCCTGGTCAATGAAGAGGACACTGTCACTGTTGGCCAGGACATTGTCAAAATGGAGCTTGGGGGTGAAAGGTCCGGTGAGAGCAAGGACACTGGTGACAAGAAGGAGGCCGCAGAGAAGCCCAAGTCCGAACCCTCCGAGTCCAAGCCAGAGCCATCCAAGACGGAGTCGAAACCCGAGCCCAAGCAGGAGGAGCCTCAAAAAGATACATCTACCAGCAAGCCGTCCCCCCCATCCAAAGAGACGTCGCAGGCTGCCCCCGTTTCCAAGGACACAGCAGCAACCGCCGCGCCAGTCCTTGGCAGTCGCGAAGAGCGCCGCGTATGTTTCTACCATGATAGCTCTCATACCTTATTCTTGCGAGCCGCGGAATTAACTCATGTTTCTAGGTGAAAATGAACCGCATGCGTCTACGAATCGCCGAACGGCTGAAGCAATCGCAGAATACTGCTGCATCCCTCACCACATTTAATGAGGTTGATATGTCTTCTCTCATTGAGTTCCGGAAGCTCTACCGCGACGAAGTGCTCAAGAAGACGGGCGTCAAGCTCGGATTCATGAGCGCCTTCTCTCGTGCCTGTGTTTTGGCCATGCGCGACATCCCTGCCGTGAACGCATCTATCGAGGGCCCCAATGGCGGCGACACTATTGTGTACCGCGATTATGTCGATATCAGCGTGGCTGTGGCTACTGAAAAGGGTCTTGTCACGCCTGTTGTTCGTAACACAGAGTCGCTGGATATGCTGGGTATTGAGAAGGCCATCGCAGACATGGGCAAGAAGGTGAGCTCCTTTGTATATCCATGAGCCAAGGTACCGAAGTAACCGTGATTCAACGACAGGCCCGCGACAACAAACTTACCATCGAGGATATGGCCGGCGGCACCTTCACTATCAGCAATGGTGGTGTCTTTGGTTCTCTCATGGGAACTCCCATCATCAACCTCCCCCAGACTGCTGTGCTTGGACTGCACGCCGTTAAAGAGCGCCCCGTTGCAGTCAATGGCAAGATCGAGATTCGCCCCATGATGTACTTGGCCCTCACCTACGACCACCGTCTTCTCGATGGAAGGGAGGCTGTTCAGTTCTTGGTCAAGGTTAAGGAGTACATCGAGGACCCCAGACGGATGCTCCTGTAAAAGTTGCCTTGTATTCTGTGGAACCAGCGACATACACCCTGCTGTGCTGGTAAACATTGCCGTAGCCTAGAGGAGCTTTTGTACTACCAGAATTTTGACCATATAGACGAATAAGAGAGTAGGAAGTTGCGACGTAGCCTGAATACCATAACATGATGTTGCTGTTTTGTCTCCATGCCAGCACACCTAGGCAGGGCTTGTAGCTTCGGGTAGGTGTCCTATTGTACAGCAACGGAACTACTGAGCAGGAAACACCCGAACAACGCAGGGATCGAGTCTGGAAGTGAGAAGATGGCTGGTGATTGCATGCTCGCAAGACTTTGGGGCCAGGAGTATATGGAACTGCCTCGAGGTAATAACGATCTCTGCTACCTGGCACCCCGTGGTGCTTGCGCCCAACTTTGAAGTAAACCGCCAACCTATCTTCTCGTACACTTTCCCTGCTCCTTGCAACCCAGAACAGAATTCACTTAGGAACAATTATAGGTGACTGTACCAGCGTTCTGCACTGACGCCTAGCCATACATGGACCTCACCATACCCAACGTCGTTCGGGTAATGAGAAACGTGCGGCTCTTCAAACGGCCGAATAAGGTGGAGATCAGATGCACACACCTGCGGAGTCCATTCCATATTACGGATGAGATATACGTCAGACTTTGTGGGTAGCAGGCGTTATCTTAACCCGGACTGATTCTTTATCTTGGTTTCCTTGCAAACATGCCCAAAAGAGAAGGGGGGGGAGAGGGGAGATGTAGAGTATGCGTGAGTGCACGACAATCGAAATTAATGCCAGCCTTAATCAAGGCTGAGCACTAGTAATGGGTTGGGAGTCACCCATGCTCGCTGAAGGCAACGCGAAATGTACTGAGTACTACCTATGTAAAGTGACTACGCAGGTAGATGATTTGTTGCCAGCGGCTTGTTGAGCTCCACCAATGTGTCTTTTCTCGCCCCCCCCCCCTTCCGTCGTAGACAACTCTGAATCCGGCAGTCGCACCACCAAGCGCTCCTAGCTTTCTCAAAAACGCCCAACAGCCATCTTCATGTCATGTCATGTCCTGAATCACTCCGCGCTTCTCAGATAGCTCTTACCGCGCACATGGCTTCAAGGATCATCCGTCGAACGGTACATACATTTGGGTGCGTGTCCTCATCAGAACCGACACACACAAAACATACACAGCATAGACATAACGAGCGCGTTCAGTTGAGCGGCCATCGTTCGTCACAGCGTGCCGCTTTGGGCCCCTCCCATCACTGCTCGTGCCAAATGTCGGCATATAGGTTAACGTTTTTGTCGATAAAACGATGCTCTGTACCGATACTATGAGCTCTATGTGTAGTGTGTATATCGCCCTAAACAGCTGGTTTGTTGAACAGAGAGGGTATTTCCTGCCGCGTAACCATCCTCGATCTTCCCGATACCCTCTGTGCAATGCGCCAGAAACGCCTCTAAATGAGCCCGTCATAAAGAAGTCCCAACCATAACATTCGTGGTCTCTTACTAAGACTCCTCGTCTGGAGCCGGTCCTTCGCCGTCATCATAAACCTTGACCTTGTCGGCATATTCCAAAATGTTGCTGACGACGTAGTCCGAGATCGTATTGCCCTTGCCCGCCGCGATCCTCAGTATGAGCTCGTTGAGATGCTGCCGCCCGAGGATGTCAACGTGGTCTGCCGTCTTGGGCCCGCCTCGGGGGTTGAATCGCTCGGGCTCGTGCTCCATCTCGACAACAGTCACTTTGGCACCCGCCGGGTTGTACCGCTTGTAGTTCCATCCCCGGTTACACATGTAGCCTGTACTGAGCAGGTTCACCGTTCCATCACCCTCGCCCATGACGACGCCGTGGTCTACTTCTCCTTGCGTGAGAGCCGTGTCGATTGTGATGTTCAGGTTTGTCAGCGCTGGCATCTCTGGTGACCGGTAGTAGTATCCCCGCTCCGTGGGCTTTCCCACACCGTAAAAGCAGTAAATCTTGAGACTGGGTGCCAGCGGCAGTCGTGTCTCCAATGGGTTGATCCATTTCTGAGGGTTCTTTTCGTTGGCTTCAACCTCGGCTTCTGTGTGTGCTACGCCATGCGAGTACGCCTCCTTCACCTTCCTCGAGTACCACTCTTCGGTTGTATTGAAAAGGTAGTCCATGGCCGACTCGACAGTCAAGTTTCGGTCCGGTGTTGTCCAGTTCATGCCGCTGCGAAAGTTAAGGAGAGAACCATACGAAAAATCCTGTCCTGGTAGGTCGTCTGGGGCCCAAGTGGAATTGCCCCAGACAGCGTCCCCACCGATGGGGAGCATTGACGAAATGCCGGGCATCGCGCGAAACAGCTGCGCTCTTTCGTCTTTGCTCAGAAACTTCTCGAGGCCGTAAACGGCAAATGCGTTGAGCTGCGCCGTGTCGCGCATTTCACCCGACAGGACGGCTGTTAGGTCCTTGACGGCGCCGAGCATGCATCCGCTCACGTTGATCCATGCCTCGACATGCTGCTCGACCCAATCGTCGCCTCCCCTGCCGCCACTTTCCGACGCTACCCAGTGAAAGAAATAGAACAGAACCTGTCCGCCCATGCTGTGAGACACCAGAACAGCCTTCTTTCCCGAGAACTCGTGTGCGGTCTCAATATAGGATTTGAGCCTCGAGAAGTATTGATCGCGAGTCTCGAGATTTGGGTAAGCCAAGCGCCAGTCATAGGCTGCCGTGAAGGAGTTGGTCGGGTCGTAGCCTATCGACGCTAGGTTCTCGAATATTTTGTTCCAAATCCAGTATCCGGTGATGAAGAAGTCGGTTGCGTCGAAGCCCTGGGCGGCTCGCAGTTTGATATGCGGAGGGTCAAGGCCGGTTTCCTGATCCAACATGATGTGTCTTTTCCAGTTCTCCTTGTCCAAAACCAATGCTCTCATCATACTCCAACTGCCCCAGAGGCGTTTTCGGAAATATTGACGAGAGACATTGGCGGTGCCCCAAGATTCGAGGCCTGTGGAAATGACGCCGGGGACCATTATCATTGGGTGATGGGCGTGAAGACCCTCGGCGCGGGCCTGTAAACCTACAGAAAAGGCATCGTAACTATCGACGAACTCGCGCTCGCCTTGCTTCACAAGCAGCCACGTTAGTTCAGGCCAGCTAGGCGCCAAGTCCATTTCGAAGCTCATATACGAAGTGTTACTGACCACAAGATCCCGCATGTCCTTGACCAACCCGGCAGGCAGGACATCAAAAAGACTATCCATGCTGAGCTCCCCAAGCTCGGGGAAGTCTATGAGATCGTTGCTTTTTGCGAAGAAGCCGGCAGCTATGATGCCGAAAAGGCTCCCGAGCAAAAAGATGGCGCCATTGCGGCGCTTCCGTGTCTTGGGCTTCACGTGGTGGACGACGTGGGTGGTGTTTTCCAGCTTTTCGGGGCTTTCGTCTCGAGGAGTGGATGGTTCGCTGTCGACTTGTGGATCGACGGGAAGTGCTCGGCGCCGGAGGGTTGAGGAAGACATGGCCGCCGCAGTAGTTGTGAGTGCGCGGACGACACTGACGGGCTGAGAACGTTAGCTTGTGCGATCAAAGGTTGGCGCGGCCAGGGGAGGCCGGTGTAAGTGAAACTAGACAGTATTAAGTAGCTTGTACCTGAGAGTGGAATACGAGGGCCTGCGGCGCGCTCTGAGGGGGATGGCTCGACACTTATTAGGAAGATTGAACGGGCGATGTCGAGCCAATGGGCCAAGCAAGGGGTGTGCAGAGGGGAAAGGGAGAAAACAGGAGCAGAAACGGAGAGGTGCGCGAAGCTTAAATTCGCCATCCATCAGCTAGCAAAATGGAATGGCGACGCTCGCGACGCTAGCAGGACTGAACTTGAACAGCACACGGACGAGTGTCCAATGCACACATACAGTACAGGTAGTCGAGGGGAACTGCGGAAGCCGACGGAGTGCCGATAGAAGCAGGGCAGAGAGCAGGGTCTGGCACAGAGCAGGGTATCCGGAGCTCGGGGGGTGGGATAGGTATTGGAGGCGGCCAAAGGAACGACGTGACGGGCGGAGCATGGCATAAAAAATAGAATGAAAGGTCCGTAGGCGTGTACCTATGCGTGAAAGGCTGGCCCCTGGGAGCATCCGGCGTGACGTCGATCTCCTGGTGGTCCCGGCGTTTTGTCTTTTTGCTCATCATTCGCAGCATGTTTACGACAGATACCTAGGTAGGGAGGTATACTGCAGATGGGCAGGTACCGTTCCGCCTTGGGCACGATTTACTCCACTGGAATGAGGGCTTGCGGCCATCCGGCGGAAACCACCCAGCACATACTAATCTTTCCCATCAGAAAAGGCCGGACAATACCCCGTCCCAAACATTGGATCCGGAAGCGGTCAGCAAGCAGGCAGTCAGTCCCCTTGAGCGACGGCAGAGACACCCATGTGATGGCTAGCCACGTGGGACAGAATCAAGGAAAGCACCTGAAATGTCTAGATAGACGTGTAGAGTTCAAGACGAATATGCAAACGATGGATCGAGCCGCATTGTTGCAGGTTGGCACCCTTAAGCGTGACGGTGTTTGGGGCCACAGCGGCGGCGGCGGCGGCGGCGACGACCTTATGATTGAGCAGCCCGAATTGCGTTCAACCTCAACTCATCATGGGCACTTTGACTCAAATACAAAACCGCCTGTCTCTAGACACTCTCCCTCCCGGTTTGGCGCTTCCAACGGCCTCGAAACCCACCTAAGAAAACGTGATGCCGTGCCTGTCACGTTGGCAAGCAGTCTGTATTACTTTTCGTTCTGTTCCGGTCATGCGATGACTAGGTAGACAGAGGTCCAATAAGATGGCGCACGAGGCAGCACGAGGATCGTGCTTCCCAGGTTCCCTGAAGAGGGTCTACATAGGCAATAAGAGTCATCGTGGCCGTTTGGCATGTGATTGTGGATGACAACTCAGCGACACTGGAGGGGAAGGGAATTGATTGCTGTGTGGCACTTGGCTGACAGTGGGAAGCTCTGACCACTGATTTCGACGAGGACAGGGACACGGACGTGGAGCAAGCAACAAGTCCAAGAAGTACACTCACTGCAAGACATTCGATTCACTTTTTCGCCCGCTACATACATACACACCGTCCGTCACTTCCTTCTGCAAACGCTCAAGCCCGCGATCGTGGTTTGTTCCAACTCTTTGGACTCGTTCTATCTCATCATCCCCAGCAGGTTTGCGGCAGAGCCGCGCCTCTGCATTTCCTTTTTCCCTTTTTTGTTCTTCTTCTCTCCCCCCCCCCCCCCCCACCTCCTCTCTGTCGGCGCCCTTATTTGCCGGTGTTTTCACTCGCAGCTTCTGCCCCTCACCTTTTTGCAGCAACCTCTTCACATTGATTTCCGTTGCGTTGTAAAATTGTCATGAGTTGAGCACACCACTCGTCTGCCGGTTTAGGCTTGTCCGCTACTCTTCACGTATTCTGCTGCATTTCCTCGTCTCTTTCGCAGTGCTGCCAAAGGAGCTGCTGTCCTTCTCTCCAAAGCCAAGCCGTTAGCATGGACGTTTCCAGCACCACACATCTACCGGCAGATCTGCAGTATATCCAATACGAGCACGGTCTAGAAGCCACATATCTACCCGCCATCCGCTCGCTGATCGCGAAGGACTTGAGCGAGCCATACAGCATCTATGTTTATCGGTATTTTCTCTACCAATGGGGCCACCTGTGCTTCATGGTACGCAGCTTTCCTCTCACCCAGCCACTCGGCCAGTATCGTGTCGCTAACTACAACCCAGGCCTTGGACCCTGTCGACTCATCTCTCATCGGCGTGATCGTGTGTAAGCTTGAGGTTCACTCATCTCACTCGCCGCCGACGCGCCGCGGCTATATCGCCATGCTGGCTGTCGCTTCCCCGTATCGCGGCAAGGGTATCGCTACGGCTCTCGTGAAGAGAGCCATCGACGCCATGGCTCAGAGGAGTGCCGATGAAGTCGTTTTGGAAACCGAAGAGACCAACACTCAGGCTATGCGTCTGTATGAGCGGCTAGGCTTTCTGCGCTCCAAGAAACTACACAGGTATTACCTCAATGGAAACAGCGCCTACAGGTTGGTCTTGCTGCTCAAATCCATCGACCCGGACGCTGTCCTCGAAGACTCAGATGGCCAGTCTCCGTGACTAGAGCATGACTATGAAGGTATGCTACTCAAGTCCAAAGGGCTACTGGAGAGCGTTTGCATCGTCATATAGGTAGCATTCGGACCAACGAATAGGTGGTACCCCAGATAAGGACGGTACGGCCAGAAGCCGCGTCAGTGGCCCCGGAGCGGTGTAAGGGGCTCGCTCTTTCCTTCTGGGTGGGTCATTCATCACCTTGACTGCACAATGGCAACATCGAATGGCATAGGCAATGGACACACATTCTGGTCCTTGAGCACATTCTAGGCTCAACCTAGGCTCAATGACGGTAGCTGAGCGAGGGGTATTTCAAAGGGAAAATACGGCATAGGGTGTTTGGTAGCTTGTTTTGCGAAACACAGCTACATATTTTGATAGCACACACATCCTGCGGGCGTACCGAGTCGATACGAATGCCGATGCACATATCCATCAAAACAGATCAGGAGGGACATGTATAGAGCTCACGGCAGTGTTACTGGCCCTCCCTCCATCTAGATGTCAACTGACCATGCGCGAATGGTTCGTATTTACTCCTTCATGTGTTCTATGAGTATAGATTTGGCCAATGCAATGCTTTCGTCACCACATATGGTTCTTGCTCAAGAAGCAACTTCCCTGTCAGCACCATTGATGATCCTTTCCGGGCGGTTTTGTCGCGTGAGCAGCGGGCAGGGAATTTAATAAAAGATCGGTGGAGCTGTAGATGGAGGCTCTGACATCCCAATGATTACCATAGGCGATACCCAGGTATGTGAACGCATCTCGGCGCTTGTTAGTCTGGAAATATGTACAACAGCGCCAAAGTCAGTATGTACGCACCTGGCTTGTAATAGATGGGACGTCCCATAGCCTCGATCAATTTCAGCTCCCGAAGCTTCTGTAGAACCCGAGTGACATCTGCCTTGTCGCTAAAGTCGGCTGTGTAGACGCACACAAGCCGGTCTTTGCGCCCGGTAGGGTCGTTATACGAGTTCCACGGCGCCACCTTTGCGGCGATTCCCAACTCGTTATTGGCCGTAGCCCTCGCGACAACGCGCCAGACTTCGTCAACGTCCTTGGGTTGACAGAAGAGCATCCACTATTGATGAGGATCAGTCATGGCGAGTATTGCACCACCGAGACCATAGAATGCTTGCCTTGCCAGCCTTGATCTTACACGCATGTGCAAGACCCAAGATGTCCTGGATAGCCTCCCTCTTTTCTAGATCTATCTCTCTCATCTTGGCCGCCATGGACTTCTTGGTGGTGCTAATGCCTTGCTTGAATTTCAGCAAGATGTTCAGCCTCTCGATGCCTCCTTCGATCAGCGTATCGAGCCGGGAGCCCTCCTCCTCGGGGGCCTCATCCTCGTTGCCCCTACTACGCTGATTTTGGGCTTCAAATTTGACTTTGCGATCTATGTACGGATTACAGATGAAGATCCAAGGGAGACGATCGTCTTGCTCAGTTGTCCCGGGAGGAAGTCGAGCAAGAAAATCGTCGACTGTTTCTGTCAACTGCCACGCGTACGGAACGCCTGCGTATGGGTTGTGGAGCTTAGTGCTGTCAAGAGGCTCCTTTTTCACCCTCCGGTTGATATGGACAGCATTGCTCTCCTCCCACCACTGAGCAACATTGAAGGACGTGACCCGAGTTTCGAGTCCAGCTACCGTCTCCTCGTCTCCTGTCTCACGAGTCAGCCTTTTAGTGCCGGTTCATTCAGGTCTCGACACAAACCGTAAAAGTCCGATTCGTCCGAGTCCATTCCGACGGTTGGAGTTTTCGCCAGGCGCGAAATGTGGTCGATGATTGAGACGCAGGATTGACGACGTGTCTTGCTGCGGAATCGCGGTGTAAGAAATCGTTTCAAAATACTACGGAAAGGAAAGAGCGCCCTAAGTCGGTGAACCTCCCTCGATGAATAAACTTCCGCATTCAGCAAAGCATCAGACGGCTGCAGAGTCCTATGTCATTGCGCAACGATGATGTTACAAGTTCCGTGAAGGCCCACGGATATCGGGAGGATGAAGGGAGGTTGGATGGAGTTGCCGTCAGGGATAGCGAGGACCCGATCCGATGAGCGACTGCCAATGCCGGGGTACAAGTTGCGGGACCCTTCCGAGCTCCCCGGGGCGCGCGGCCGATCCCCTCCCGGAAATTCTCTGGCCACCTTGCTCATACTTTCTTTTTTTTCTAGTTGGTGCTTGGGACCTTGCACCAAATCACACGGTGGGCTTCCGACGCAAAGTTCCGATACCAACACCAAGACAACCAGGACCACATCGCACCGCACGTCTCCTGAGACAACGGTGACGTATTCAGCCGACATCGAAGGCCAAGGATTTGCTCCCCTCCTCTACTTCTCTTTTCGACCCCGCAAAGAGGGAAATTGCCACGGACCAGGAATGAGCCACGAACGAAGCGTCGCTGTTGCGTCCAAGCAATCTCTTGTTCTAGACTTGCCTCCAAGCTGCATCGAGTTTTGCCCGTCACACCCAGAGTATTTCGTGGTTGGAACTTACAACTTGGTGAAGGATGAGGAGCCACAAGATGAGGCGGAGGGTGCAGGGTCTTCGGTCGCTAAGAAGGCCCAAAACCGCAACGGTAGTCTTGTTGTATTCCGACTAGCAAGCAGCTCAGTGTGAGTTGGCGAAGCCCTTTACACATCGTGGCATGAGATTTGACCTCCTTCTAGGCATCATGTTCAAACCATCTCTCACCCATCAGCTATTCTCGACTTGCACTTCTGCCCCTTTCCGAGCCGGCATGACATCATGGCTGTGGTTTCCAGCACCGGAACGCTATCCATATTTCGATTGAATCCAGATGCAGATGCTTCAGAGCCACTCAAGCATTTGGCCACAAGCAGAATCTCCGATGTCCCCGAAGGCATCCTGTTTCTCTCGGGAGTTTGGGACACTAACAACGCATCTTCTATCGCGATCACAACTTCTGCTGGCGAGGTGCGCGTCGTGACGCTCGATACCTCCTGGCGAATTATCAACGACAACTCGGGGCCCGTGATAACGCATTCTCTGGAAGCCTGGACGGTGGCATTCTCTCTTGCCGAGGACCCATTCGTGGTTTACTCTGGAGGCGATGATTCTGCGCTCCGGTACGCATCATGTACGCACAGCAGCGAAAATGGCGAGAAAGACGGTGTTGGACTCAGGACCTTGAACTCCCCTCTCAACATTGGGGGTCATGATGCCGGTGTGACGGCCATTTTGCCAATTGCTGCCAGACTGATGGACGGCGCGAGGGTACTGGTTACCGGCAGCTACGATGACACGATACGAATTTTTGCCGTGCACCCTCCGCACGAAACGTACGGTCTTCGCAAATTCAAGAAATTAGGGGAGACAAACCTAGAAGGAGGCGTCTGGAGGCTCAAGTTGGTCGAACTGCAGGAGAGGGACGGCCGCTGCTGCCTGAGAGTTCTAGCATCGTGTATGCATGCTGGCGCCAGGATTGTTGAGCTGGAGGGGCCGTTGGATGGTGGAGAATGGGATATCAGGGTCCTGGCTCGGTTTGAGGAACATAAAAGCATGAACTATGGCAGTGACTTCGTTCCCAGGCTAGGGCAGGGCCGCCTCGAATGTGTGTCTACGAGTTTCTACGACAAGCTTCTGTGTTTATGGGAGGCGGATATGGTTTAAGGAGAAATTAGACGAGCCGTATGTCAATATTGGACACGGTGCTTATGATCGCCAAGAGAAGGGTTCTGTACCTTGGTATGTAGGTTTTATATCTAGAAGATAGAATCATAGTCAAGAATGCAACTTTTATTTTTATTTTAAGTCTGCTTGCCATCTATGCTGCCATTTCAGTACAAGACACTACGACGTGCCGAGAGCAGTAAGCGTGACGATGCAGGGCTCCCGCGTTGCAGAGACGAGACTGGTGGTAGATGAGCTAGTACTTTATGTAATCGTAAAGGGCTTGATCTGCCGTTCTAGAAGGACACGGCTGGGAGTTGAAAGGTTGATAGGAGCCTGGGTGTTACGAAGTCCCATATAATGCTGACAATCTTCTTCAAAGTGATGCAAGGCCGCCAAAGCTAGAACTGCTCGCTTAGTCATTTCATATGAAGAGTCGTCAGCTTTCAGAATCAACTGGCTTAATTTGGACAGTCTCCGGATGAGGCACGGCCAAGACACCAATTCCAAAAAGGGTTGGACTTGTGGTATTGTTTTGGATGGATAGAAATGCAGTGGCGGAATCAACACAAGCTCCTGAGATGATGTTTTTGTAGCCGGCTCCCCTTCCAGACAATACCTAGGTAGGGTAAGCAAAGCACGGACGGATACGTCTCCGATGCCTCGGTGACTTCCTCTTGGTCTCACTTGGATGGGGAGGCGACCAGCGTCGCATTTGCCTACTAAATATGAAAGCGGCTGCCACGAGAATGGTCAAATGAAGGGCGGCTACCTGATAAAGAGGTACTGTACCCAGGGACGGGCACTTTCTCCTCATTCACAGTGTTGCGCTGTCTACCTGCCTCGCCTCGCATGGGTAGACAAGGAGTGGAGGTTCGAAAGGTTAGGCATCACAGGCAATTAGGCCAGGGCCCAGCACAGCACCAGGTACACGGTTCGCAGTGATGCCCCCTGGCCAGCCAGCGGCCAGCGGAGAACGGGCAGCGAGACTTATCCCCACTGTTGGCCTGCCTTAAGCAAGGTACCGACCGATTCACTTCCCGCCGCATTTATTTGCTTCCTCTCTGCTTTGGATGTTGCAAATCATGCTTGTCGATGCTGCTTCTGCTGCTGCTGCTCTTGTTACCGCCGAAATTGCTTCTAACTTCGCTCCTGCTATCCGATCGCGCGTCTACACGACTGCCTGGTCTTGATCTTGCTCTTGCCTCTACCGAATCCCTTCTAATCCCTACATCTCCGCAGCCCCGACCTCTTCCCGTGTGTTGGGGACAGGATCGAAGCAAGCACTAACGGGCGCGCCTACCAACTTGTTTGCTCGTGGAGTAGCAGGAGCTTCAGAGAAGTACTTGCAGATACTTGCACATCCTGTAAGACCTTATCCGCTGTGCTGCTCCTCCTTTTCCAACCGACTGCAGTCTTTCGCTAACTCTTGCATCTGTTTCTTGGGCAGCAGTTCTCACCGAGCCCGTGCCCCCCGATACTGCCTTCCACCTTTTCAACCTCCCGCTGTCGAGTCTCCGCCGAAACCACGTCCAACGTATGACCCAACATTGAGCCAACTGCTGGATAAGCAGCTTTTGAGGCTGGGGTTTCCTGGTGTACTGCGACCGGTCCAGCCCATCATGGACGGACATTCGGTCAATGGCGCATCTGCCACGGGCCAGAGCGCTGCTTCCGTGAACGGCGAGAATGTCGACATCATCTCCCAGGTTCACCAGGCGCTCGAGGTCATACACAGCCCCTACTCTTCCAATGAATCCCGCCGAGACGCCCAGCTCTTCCTCGAGAACATAAAAAATATAGACGAGGCCCCCTTCCACGGCTTCACGCTTGCCTCCAACAAGTCGCAGTCTCCCGTCGTGCGCCACTACGCTCTGTCCCTCCTCGAGCACGCAATCAAACAGAAATGGGCCGAGTATAACGAGCAGCAGTCTATCATGCTGCGCGAGTGGGTATTGGGGCTCTGCCGCGACCTGTCAAAGGACGATCCGCTATACATCAGGAACAAGACGGCCCAGCTGTGGGTGGAAGTCGCCAAGAGATGCTGGGGCTCCGAGTGGATGGACATGGACGAGCTTCTGGTTCGCCTGTGGCAGATACCCGATTCTGCTGTTCATAAGGAGCTCGTTCTCTTTGTGCTCGAGACACTGTCTGACGAGGTGTTTAACGGCGACGACGCTGTCGTAGCCATGCGCGAGGGCGTACTCAGCAGAAGCTGTGTCGAAGTCTTCACCCCGGCCCCTGTCTTGAGAGAAGCCTTCCCCAACAGAGCCGCTGGCCCCGAGGTGCGCTTCGGGGAAGAAGGGTGGCTTAGCAGGGTATCTGAATTTCTCAGTCATTGCCTCAACGGAGACGCCCAAAACAACGACCAAATCCGCTCTTGCGCCGTGAAATCCTTGTCCGTCTTCTATTCCCTGATGCCCTGGGCCATTCCCAAGTCTGTCGCCGTTGCAAATTGCGTTCCCGTCATGTGCAGAGCCCTTGCGACTCCAGAAGTCTCTGTTCAAAAGGTAATTACTTGGAACTTCCTCCATCAGTCTGGTCAGTTCGAGACGGGCACTAGCTTACCTGCAACAGGCCGCACTAGAAGCTCTGCATGCACTCTACTCTCGTTCGAACTTCTCCGAGCAAGAGTTCAAGGACCTCGTCGCGCCCCTGTACGATGCTAGCTCGGTAGACCTCCTAAAGAGGCTCTTTGAATGGTCGGCCGTGGATGCCGAGGACATTGACGAAGACAAGTACCAATTCGGCAAGAAATTCTCAGAAGTATGGAGTACGACATACTACAATGTGCAATATGCTTACTTTGGATGTAGATGCTATCTCTGCTTGGTAACTACCTCGACCGAAGGTTCTCTGCCATACCGACAAACTCAGACGTTGGCGGCTTTCTCAATCTGTTGCTGCTCACTGTACAGAGTCAAAGTCTCATCATAGCAATTCCTGTCCTGGCAACCTGGACTCGCCTCCTGAACAACAGGTTGATCGGACAGAGCCCGGCCAATAGCCATCTCGTTGGCCCGCTTCTTGAAGTCTGTGGCTCTCGCTTGATCAGATACGAGAATTTGCCTGAGGACACTCAAGACCCCACGTTTTTGTTCCTCATGGAGGATACCGACACCGTCCCCGAGAGGCATGCTTTTCTCGGCAACTATAGGAGGTATAGCACTCAGGTCATTGAGACTATTGTCCAGCTGAAGCTGTCTGAGGCAGTCTATCATGTTCTCGGCCAGGCAGAGCAGGTTTTGCAGCGTCTGTATGATGACAGCCCGCCTATGGACAGTGAGTTTATGCATATCTCGGTCCCAAAAGCCAAAAGCTGATCCTGTAGTCACGAAATACGTCAAGCATTCCATGCCGGTTTTACGTGTCGATGCACAATTTACCGTCATTGAGGCCGCGCTCAAGGGCTACATGAAATGGAGGGCAAGCACCACTCAACAGAGCCTGCCAGACTATGTTTGTCACAATTAATTCTCTCGTTCAGGATGATACTAATAATCCCAGGAACAACAGCGTGCCGCCTTGGAGAGAGACCTAGAATCCTGGTGCACCAAACTCCTTGAAATGAAGTTTGAGGATCCCTTGATCCGAAAGAGGGTTTTGCAACTCTTGGTAGCCTTCTCGACCACAGCGCTCGACAAGAACCCTGGATTCATGCTCAAGGTCCTTGAACACATTCTCATGACATGGCCCGCCCCTCAACCGGAGCATCGTGCCTTCAATGAGGCCATCAAAGACTTCCAGTCCGAAAGCATGGTGGAGTTGCAGAGGCTCGCGTCAAAGGTCCCCGATCACTTGCTTGCCGTGTACGATCAAATAGAGGCACGGGTGAACGATATGATCTCATCTGGCACGTTGGACGAGAAGCGCCAGATTGCTTATCAGAGTTTCCTCTTCATCATCATTCACCGGGCTTCCAACATCGACCCTGCCATTCAGGCTCAGCGCTTACAGGAATTCATCAAGCCTGTCACGTCTTCTTGGCAGAACCAGGAACTTAAGAATTCACTCTCATCTTATTCAGGCTTCTGCGAGTTGATGGCTCTGGACAAGGCCAAGAGGTATCTCATGAGCCACCGCGTCCACGAGGTCAGAGACTGGGGTTCCTGCGAACTAGATGCCGAAGGCCTGGCTTTGCAGAGTGAGCTGGAAGAGAGACAAAAGGTAAGTGTCTGTCCAAAATTCACAAGGCCCGAAATGCTTACTTGTTTGAAGATGCTACCGCTTCGCCCTACGAAGTCTTTCCTCTCGTTCTCAGTCGAGAAGTTGGAGAAGTCGTCTAATCCATTTCAGATATCGTATCGCTTGTGGAATGATAGCTTTCCCGTCATTCTGCCCGATCTTTTACAGTTTCTCAGGTAAAGATGGCCCGCCGAGTGTAGCTTTACATTGACTGACCGACTGCATAGCCATGCACACGCATCGCACAACCCGGATAACTGGACAGAACTACCTGCCGAAACTCGCTCTGTTGTTGGCAATGTACTCAGTGACCGATTCTGGCAAGCGGGCATCTCAGAGGGCAGCAAGGACGAGTTTTATGCTCGCGTCATGGACAAAAAAAATACACTCGAAGGGCTCGCTTCGACCATTCGTGGATCTGTAAGGTTTGTTAGGGAGACCTGTTACGCCATCATCTACTGTATGAGCCGTTTGGAGATGCAGTTCTACGGGTTCAGCGAGCTGCCTGGTCCGCTTGCGCAGGCCCTTTTTCAGAACTCTTTCCATCTCTCGGCACACCAGCAAATCAACCTCCTCAATCTTGTAAGATACCTGGTGGATGACTGTCCATTGGAGCAACGAGAACACTTCCTCCCCCCACTGCTGGCAGCTTGTTTCCAGCAGATGGATGCCAAGATCAACGCGGAATGGGAGAACCTTGAGCGCCAGCAAGCTATACAGGCTGCGGCAGATGCACTCACAGAGGAGATGAAGTCCGAAAGTATCTTGCGCCAGGTCACGTACACTGCGGTGATCATGGTGGCGGATTTCTTGGA